TATCTATCTATCTATCTATCTATCTATCTATCTATCTATCTATCTATCTATCTATGTTTCTTGAGACAGGGTTTCTCTGTGTAGTCCTGGCTGTCCTGGAACTCCCTCTGTAAAACAGGCTGGCCTCAAACTCACAGGGATCCTCCTGTCTCTGCCTCCTGCGTGCTGGGATCAAAGGCGTGCGCTGCCCACCATCACCCAGCTAAAATGTTCCTTTATAAATGATACAGTTGTGAGTGTCATTGGGGGTAAGAGGTTTTTTTGTTGTTGTTTTTTGTTTTGTTTTGTTTTCCTTAATGGATTTTAGATGATTTGAAGAACCACAAAACCTCACAGCCCAACTATGAAGGAACTTGATGAGTGTTTTCCGACTCTAATGGGCTATGACACACGCTGAGCTCTGGCGGGAAAACAAGCTGAGCACGTTTGCACCGCAGTGTGGGCTGCTGTGCATTCAGACCCCCAGGTGCTGGTGACGGCCTTATTACTCACCAGCTCATTTGCCATCTCCTTTCCGCTTACTGTCAGCACTGTCGCTGAAGACGGCAAGGCAGGTTATTTCACATAACATGTGAGTCGAATACACTTTCTCTCCTCGCTCAGTTGAAGACAGAGACAGAGTGTTGAGACACAGCGTCGTTCAGACAAGCTGATTCTACGTCTCAGTCCATTCAAACAGCCTCTTTGCCGCCAGAGGTTGATTATTTTATAAGGAAATAAACAACTGAATTTCTGCAAATCAAAATTATATTTTGATAGAATTTTGTTTCCTGGAAGTTCAAAATCACTTCCTACAGTTGGCACAGGGGCATAGGTGGGGATTAGCAACAGGACATAAAAAAAATCATTATCCCTTTGAAGTCTATCAGGCACTTTCTCCCTCACTCATAGCTGTGTTCTGCACGTGCTGAACATGGTAGCAGTAAGAGTTTCATATGTTTAGTTCTATGATTCCCAGCATATCTCAGGAGCCACGAATGCACTTGGCAGCGTGAAAATAATAGCACAGCTTTAATCCACCCATATCTGCAAACATATATGTGTCCTCCTGGACCCATACACACACATGCAAGCACACACACACACGCACACACACACACACACACACACACACACACACACACACAGGCATATATGCACACAGTCCCACGACGATGCAAATTTACCATTGAGCTTAAAATCGGCTTGAAAAGGCAATGCTATAGCTTCTACTTGTATTCGGCAGTCGTTTGTGTTTCTATTAGAATATGCTCAACTCTAATGTTCTGATTTTTCTATATTCACAGAGAAGTGCCTGCATTAGCAAACAGCATTCATGGCTTCTTTTGCTCATCTTTTTATTTCAGGGTCATCCAGGACCACTGGGGCCACAGGGACCAATAGGGCCCTTGGGACCCCCGGGACCCATTGGGATTCCGGGAGAAAAAGGAATGAGAGGTGACAGTGGCCTTCCCGGACCAGCAGGGGAAGAAGGAGGCAAGGTGAGTTAATGAATATCTTACCTGTCTCCAGCGCCCAGGGTTTGTTTGCTTGTTTAAAAGTCTCAGGACAGTTTACTCATATGTAAAGAAAACTCCCCCCTATAGACAAGCTGTAAATCGCAGAAGCTGCCTGAAGGAGGAGAATGGAGAAGAGAAGGGAAAACATGTTCAGTCTAAGCTGGCATGAAGGCATAGAGGCATGGGGGCATGGAGGTTAGACACATGACGGACAAACAGCCCCGTGACAGGCAGGAGAACTTCCGGGAAAAGTAAGGGAGCCGAAGCTGTTGAGGAAGCCCAAAGTGTTAGGAGAAGTGTGTTTAAAGAGAGAGATAGAAAGTTGAAGTCATCCCTTCTGAATAATTTGAGGCATGCGCAGGTTTGCAGCACTCCCAGCCGGTAGCCTGGTAAGTGGCTGCCCCGTGGGTAGCGACTCTGGGAAGGAAAAGTACAGTATCTCATTAAAGGACAATTTATTCTGCCCATCTCTTCATAACACTCAGGTTCATGCGTGCACCTGGTCAGAAACTAAGACACAGGACTCTGCGTTAGCCAGTCTTTTTCCCAGCCCCTCTCCCGGGGAGCAAGCTGCTTGAGAACATTTCTCCAATCTGTAAATGTCCACGTGGAAGACTTGTGGCGTTCATCGGCTTTCGGGACAATCCAAAAGAAGCATTGAGTGTGACAAGCTGAACCTTTCATTTTTCAGTCAACAATATGTCTTAGAGAGTATCTATCCTATGCTAATTTCCTTTTTCTTTTTTTTTTCCTTTTTTGGTTTTTTGAGACAGGTTTCTTTGTGTAGCCTCGGCTGTCCTGGACTCACTTTCTAGACCAGGCTGGCCTCCAACTCATAGAAATCAGCCTGCCTCTGCCTCCAGAGTGCTGGGATTACAGGTGTCTGCCACCAGGCCCAGCCTATGTTAATTTCTTAACCCACATATATTTCTTAGGAAAAAAACAAAAAAACACTGAATATGCCATCTTGTGTGTAAAACCACAGCCTGTTTTCTGTTGGTGTAAATATGATTTTGATTTTTTTTCAGCTCTACAGATACAGTGCCAGGGCAGGGATATAACCCCATCAATTATTGTTGTTCACATTAAGAGTCTGTTGTCCTGGGAAGGATGCTGAGGGCTGGAGTTTGACAGCATGCTGAACGTTTGACTTGGGTTGGTTCTGCCGAGTTGCCTTCCTAGACCCATACAGCAGTGTGCTTTAAATTTAAGGATGCTCCTTAAATCTAGGGGCCTAGAGCAATCAGTGTAAAAACGAGTGACAACGAGTGCTAAGGTCTTTTGATCTGGGATTACCAGCTGTTCATAGTTTCGGGTAAATGTACTTGCCGATCTAATAATTAAGTCATTTTTACGTCTTTGTTTCGTATTTTGGAATTAGGGTCCAACTGGTGTCCCTGGATTTCCAGGCTTGGATGGCGTTCCTGTAAGTGTGCCCACACTTTTCTCCGTTGTTTTAAAAAAGAAACAGCCGCTAGAAGCCTTAAAGCGATGCAGAGTTGTGGCAGTGTGCATATGTCATCTGAGTATGCGGGAGGCTGAGGCAGGGGGATTGTGAGTTTGAGGCCATCTTGGTTTGCATATGGGAACCAGAAAACAGAAAAAAAAAAAAGAAAGAAAGAAAGCAAACAGACACCATCATAAACAAATGTCCCTGAAAAACATATGCTCAAAGAAGATGTATGATTGGTTCTTGCTCTTAAATTTTCTAAGATAATTAAAGAATGCTTATTCAATTTTGTGCAATAATTCCTGAATCAAAACATTTTACACAAAGAGCAGAGTCATACAGCACAGAAGCTCAGTGGAAGAAGGAAGCCGGTTTTGGGGAACATTACAATGCAGCAGACTCCTCCAAAGTTGGAGAATAACTTACCATGGACACAGTACATTTTAAAGCTGCAATTTTACCATGTAACACTTTTAGGAAACCTCACAAAAGGAAACAAGTAAACAGACCAGTCGTAGTTTCTGAAATTCGGTGGTCCAAGTGGGACAACCTTTGCATTGGGGTTTTTCTTGTGGAAAGATTTCATTCACGGTCCTGTCTTCTGCAGGGTCACCCGGGGCCTCCAGGACCCAGAGGCAAACCTGGTGTGGATGGCTACAATGGCTCAAGAGGGGATCCTGGATTTCCAGGAGAAAGAGGAGGTCCTGGCCGGGGAGGCCCCCCTGTAAGACCGTTAGCACAGCCTCGAGTGATCCTAAGTGAAAAGACTTTATCCATTGCAGGAATCAGTTTGCTCTATGTGGGAAGTGGAGTCGCTGCAACGTTGCCTCCAGCACGGTGAACTACAATAGGTGTTTGGGAAGGGGGTTGGCGAGGTGGATAGAACCAGAATGTGTAGGGGCTTCACAGGCCGTGGGAAGAGAAACGCTGAGTGGCTTTAAGGAGGGGTGTGAACCAACTGGTTTCGTTAAGGCATTTCTGGTTTCTGCACAAAGACTGGGGAGTTAAGGAGGAGGGGACACTTTACCAAAACTTACACCCCACCATGCAGGCTGAGTTTGTGTTTACCTATAGCTTCAGCAAGGGATAGGGATATTCCCTTATTCTGGCCACCCACCTTCCCACATCTCTCACTTAAGTGAAAATCAGAAAAAGTTTGGCCTGGGTCAGGATGTACTGTACGAAATTCCCAAAGAACTAATAAAAACTGAGAAAAAAAAAATTAAATAAATAAATAAATAAATGCTTTCCCTTAAGAAAAAAGTCTCTCAGCCTTTCTCCCTTGCTATTTAAATAACTCTTCTCCAATTCTCGCAAAAGGTTTCCTAGCGGCACGGTTTCCTAGCGGCACTACCGGAGCCATCCGTTTTCTCTTCATTGCTCTTCCCAGTGCTCTCCACTGAAGGAGGACTGGTTAGAACATAGAACTCAGAAGGAATTCCAGGCTGGCACATTTCTTGATATCCCATAAAAATCACCTTGAGTGCTAAGGTTCTCAACCAAGTCCATTCTGCTCTAAGTTCCCGAGCAGCGAGCCGAAGGTACACATCCTCTGCTCTTCCCGCTAGACCAGGCTTCACTCCACTGACTCAGGCATTTCAGAGGGCGGGGGCTCTCAGGGCTAGCTTTGCCATAGCAAGCAGTGCTGGCGCACGGTTGGAACGCCACAATGGCTCCTTGGTTGAGCAGCGTTCTCTCTTTTTGGCTCTTCTGAACAGCCTGCTTGTAAAGTGAGACTTTCATGAATGCTAAAGCTAAAGTAACCTCAGCCACTCATGGGAAAGTTGCTTCTGTCTTGTGACTTTTTAAGTGTTGGAGTTAATCCGTTAAAATGTTGCTGTCGCTTATAAGTCCGTGAAGTTAAAAAAAAAAACTTTTGAACTAATATTTATGTAGTTCTTTGTAATCTGAAACAGTGAGAATCAAAGCGCCGTGTTGTTTGGTTAAAAAAGAATTCTCCAGACTGTTTTGAACAGTGCTTCCCTTTTTCATATCATGTAATATATAATATCAAATTAACCTTTTTTTTCATGCTGTGGCAAAATGTCACTCTCTTTGTTTGGGTCAGTTTTCATTATTGAGAAATATCTCCCTATGTTTTTTTCAGCGTGAAGTCGTTGCCCAAGTCATTTCCTTTTCATCACAGCCATTGAGTCTCTGTGGAGGAGCCCATCCTCCCTATTTGCTCTGGCCGCCATGTTTCTTTCTAACTCCACTTCCGCTCTACCCCAGTTTCACTTGCAACATCATAAATGCTTTTCTCTGTTTGTTTCCCTTTCCTCTTCCAAGACAAATTCCCTCTCTCAAGTAGCTGTCTTTGTAAAATGTTACTTGGGTTTATCTTTAAGAGATAAGGAAGCTACATATTTATGTGTTTTGCTGTGCTATTCTCTAGTCTGTCTGTCTCTCTCTGTGTATACATGTGTCTGAATAAAAGATTTATAGTCACACTCTCATAGACAAAATCTCACCTGTGTTCCTGTAGACAACCTACCTGAAACTCACTGGGTCACAAAAAAAAAAAAAAAAAAAAAGACACAAAAACAGAAGGGACACTACATGGGAAGAAGGAAATCAACAGAAGTGGGAGGGGGACAAGGGAGAGTAACTGGATGAATACATTATGTACTTGTACGAAAATGCCTAATAATGCATTAAAATAAAAAAGAAATGAGAAATGGACAAGGTCATGCAGTAATCGATCATGGCAGGCTTATGCAGTGGTCAGTCATAGCAAGCTTTGAAACACATGATTCGTCACTCGTCATGACCAGTCTGTTATTCATATACTGATTTGTGGATCAAGGAGCAAACAGTGATTTTTTTTTTTAATCTGGGGGATCAAACCAGGATCTCAGGTTTGCCAGACAAGCATTCTGCCTCCAAGTTATAGCTCTAGCCTTTGTGCCGCTATTTGATTGATTTCCATTATCATAACTGATTTAACTCAATGTGGGACTGAAATCCATGCAGACAGGAACTGTAGGAAGCCAGGACTGCCTGCGGAGGCGAAACTGATTCCTCAAGGAAACAGTTGATGAGACTTACCAGAAAGCCATTGAGTTTCTCCCACTGGGGGGAAAAAAAGTCAGGAGCTGTTACTGGTGGGATCATTGGGAAATTCATACTCATTCACAGAGCTTGATAATATGAAGAAGGCAGAAATTCTATGTGACAAACAATTTAATGCATGTAAGATAGCAACTGGGATTTTAAGTTGTTATATAGAAGAATTATAATGGAATCCATTGAGCTAATTTATTTAACCATCTAAAAATGCTCTAAACTGCTGGACATAGTGGCTTTTGCCTTTAATCCCAGTTCTTGCGAGGTGGAGGCAAGCAGTTCTCTGTGAGTTTCAGACCAGCCTAACCTAAATAGCCAGTTCCAGGTCAGCCACTCCTACATAGTGTCACCTTGCCTTAAAATATCACCCACCCAGCCACCCAAACAAAATAGGAACAGCTTCACAGGAGGGAAAGTGCTGTACATTTTGAAAGTCAGTCTTACAAAGATCATATACGCTCTATTTTGAAAACAAATACCCGCATGGATCAAATTAATACTCTTAAGAATTTTTTGCTGGGGCATAAATTAAATTGCAAAATCATTTATTTGTAAGAATAATTCCTTGCACTGTATTATGAGAAGATGCAGTCTTTCTGCTGCCTGATTAGTAAGTATCCATTAGTGAGTGGCTTGCCTTCACAGACCTTATCAGAATGCCTGAGATTTTTGAATCTTGGACCAGTAACAATCGGGGAGACCATAAATCCATCCCAGTGAAATGACCGCAGTGCTGACTGAAATTTTGAATATTGAAATGGCAATCCATTTTTTTTTCTCTTTCCTTTTCAGGGTCGCCCTGGGGAAAAAGGAGAAAAAGGAAGGTCAGTGTTCATTTCAGGAGGCCTTAAAGGTATTCAGGTGAGTGTTACGGCCATTGTGGGCTTAAGAAAGGCATTTTCCCAACAAGAAACACACGGGCAGGGATTTCTTACAAAGTTCTATTGAATGTACTGATTTTTTTTTTTTTTTGTCATGAACCCGACACAACAATATGGCTGTCTTCCTCTTGTAGGGAGGCACAGGTCTTAGTTTCTATGGCTATAGATTTCCTCGCCTTCTACACATTCAGAATGATAAGGACGCATTCATTCCAAGGTTCCTTGGGTTCGTCGCTGTTGTTATTTGGGCCGGGCAGTCATTTGTGGAGGGCTGACCTGAGACTCACAGGGCACTGGGAGCTCTGAGGTGGCCTTCATTGAGTGGCACTGAGAGACCAATACCACAGAAATAACTATACCTAAAAGTGGTAAAATCTGAAAGGGTACCTTGAGTAAAACCTGCTTAGAAAAAGCCTGTGTCTAAGAGCATGCACACACCGTGATTGGCATGCAGAGCAGTCAAACCTTAGCATCGAGTTGAGTGCTAGGATGGATATGCCAGCAGCAAGGGATGCTCCTGTCACCCTGGAGTGATGCTTCTCAATGCCGTCACTCTTTAGTACAGTTTCTCATGGTATGTGGACCCCCGCTACAAAATCATTTTCGTTGCTACTGCATAACTGTGATCTCGCTACCGTTATGAGTCATCATGTGATTGCCTGACATGCGGGGTATCGGATAGGTGACCCCAAAGGCGTCGCGACCCAGAAGTTAAGAGCCACTAGTCTAGACCAAGGCCTGGTGAGGCCACTAGACCAGAAATAGGTGTGTTGTGAGGAAACAGGACATTTAGATCCACACACTAGAGTAAGGTGAGCAGAAGGACCATCACATCTTTCTTTGATGTTGTCCCAACCCCAACAACCTTGTCTAGTCTCTAGTAGATAGGAGAACAAACAAAGAAAACCCACTCCACTGAATGCTTCCATGGTTTTCTTCTCGAAGGGAATCTGCTGTCTACCTAGGCCAGTACAGCTCATTCCTGTTGCATTTGTCTTTCTTTGTCATCAATGTCCTAGAAAGCTGTCCTCCTCTTGTAAAACAGCATAACGTTGTCATTGCAGGGAGACCGTGGGGACCCAGGACCGCCCGGCTTACCTGTAAGTCTCCCGAGCAGACCGCGGACATCTGCCTTCTTTGCAAATAGCACTTCAGATTTTATGTCCAACAGGACCAGCCACGAAATGTGTGAGACCCAACCATATAGAATAAAAATGAGGGAGGGAGGGTGGGAATGGGAGGGAAGGAGGGAGCGGGATACAGCTTGGATACAGAGTTAATGTAACTAATAATAAAAAATTTTTTAAAAAAAGTATTTCATGGCACTGAGAGCAGGGTGTTAAGTCCATGCCCTGTGAGACCCTAGTTCACTCCCCCCCGCCCCAGGAAGCAGTCTCTGAGCTCAGCAAGCTGCCTCTTACAGACACATACACACACACACACACACACACACACACACACACACAACCTTCTGCATAAATGTAGCGAACGGAATTTAATGCCACTTCTGTAACATTTTTGCCTGCCAAATTAGTAACTTTTTAATACTATTTTTGCCCCATTTCATCTCCCTGGAGTTTGTCACTCAGTGATCATATTAGCCTTTCTACTTGATCAGTGTTCAGGAGACTGAAACTGAACGAATTTTGCCTCGCAGGGATTAACCTGTTCTTCTACTTTGCGGCTTCTGGCTATGCACAGAGTTACTCTTGCCGGCAGGTCCCTAACTGTACGGACGCTCGATTTCCATGTAATAAATGAGGTGCTTTGGATGCCACTGTTGAAATAGATGCCAGTTCATCCTCCTAAAGAGGGCAGAGCTTCATATTACTCATTTGATGTAGGTTGGAGAGCAGGGGTCTGTTCTATCCAGCCTTCCAGGATTGCCTGGCCACCCCTACCATCTTCCATTGTGTAAGCCATGATGCTGACAACTTACATGAGGCAGAAAATTGCTTATGTCTCTACCATCTGTATCTTGGACTGGGGACAGTGTTTCTGGGGACTTTGGTCTTCTAAGCCACATTCCAAGACTATTTTTTTTTAAGTACAAATACATTAATATTTAAATACGGGGACTGGGGAGATGGTTCAATGGTTAAGAGCACCTGCTGCTCTTGCAGAGGACCTGGTCTTGGTTACCAGCACCCACACGGAGGTTCATAACTGTCTGTGGCTTTAGGTCTAGGGGATACACAATGTCCTCTTCTGGCCTCTGCATGCACACCACACATAGACATACAAACAGGCAAATATTTATAAGCATAAACTAAAAATGTCCCTAAATAGGAATGATACCAAAGACTAATATGAAAAGAGATCTTGATGTGTATAAAGCTATAGTGAAATTGGGCAGAGCTAGTGAAGGTCCCTTGTTTGTGACTTTCATTATTACCTAGACTTGTTTGTGAGGTGTGGATTGTTCTCTTGACCTGAAGGGAGCCCTACAGTAGAGTGTGTCGTGCTTACTGGAGTGCTGCTCCCAACTCTGCCACAGATGCTCTCACTGATGAATGTGTGCGGGAGGGGTAAGGTGTTGGGGGGAATGTGAGGGGGTTCCAGACTGTTTCAAAGGGTAAGGATTATCCTTACAAGTGTAAGGATAATTGTGGTTTTCACGTAAATGTGCTGATCTCTCTCTCCCTCCCTCTCTGTCTCTGTCTCTCTCTCTCTGTGTGTCTGTCTCTTCTCCCAGGGCCTTAGGGGTCCACAGGGATCACCAGGACCCATGGGGCATGCTGGTGCACCAGGGCTGACGGTAAGTATGCTGCCGAAAACAAAACTGCATTTTTGGTGAGGCTGATGAAACACCCTTATTGTCAGGGACCCATCTTGGTGCACGGGTTCCCTAGAAAAAGCCACTGTCCACACAGCAAAATAGCCCATCCGTGTTTAAAAGTCCACTGTGTGTCCCTTTCAGTTTAAATGGCACATAATGGTCCACATGGGGCCAGAGAGATAGCTTTCCACAGGAGCCTGAGGACTTGAGTTCTATCTCAGAACTTACACCAAAGATCCACCCATGGCAGCACATGCTTCTAATGCCAGGGCTGAGGAGGCAGATATAGGTGGAACTCTGGGCTCCCTGACTAGCTGGCCTAGCCTCATTAATGCACCCCATATTTCAGTTGGAGACACTGTCTTTAAAAATAAGAAATGACATCTCAGATGGATCCTGGTCTCTACATGCACTCCACACACATTCATCTTCATACACATGAGCCCATACATGCTTACACACACACGTACAATTGTATGTATTCATGAGCTACAGCCTGATGTTTGGATACATGCATTTACTGTGCAGTGATCCAAATCTGGACAGTCAGCACATCCACAGCTTGTAACATTCACCATTTCTTTGTACGGGAAGCATGTAAACCTTCGGGAGCCATTTTGTAATGTGCGATAATCCCCCTCTTCCTATCCAGTCTTCCCAGACTCTGGCAACCACTATTTTTCTCCTTACTCATATGAGATCAAAGTTTTATCTTCCTTATAAGAATGAAAGCAGTGGTGTGAACAACGTTAAAATCAGATGTTTCCTAACTGACACTGTTATGTGGCTATTCCTATAGCCACATACTGACCACTTGGACACCAGACTCAGATTGGTGGAAGTTTATCAAATGCTGAACAAAAACTGACCAGTCAGGGCCATAATCTGGACTTGGAGAGAGACTATGATGCTGGTCTGTTTGTTTGTTTGTTTGTTTGTTTGTTTAAGATTTGTTTATTTATTATTTATATAGTATTCTGTCTGCATGTATGCCTACGTTCTGGAAGAAGGCACCAGATATCATTATAGATGGCTGTGAGCCACCATGTGGTTGCTGGGAGTTGAACTCAGGACCTCTGGAAGAACAGTTAGTGCTCTTAACCTCTGAGCCATCTCTCCAGTCCCCTGCTGGTTTATTTCTAAGGCAGTTTTTTTTTTATATGAAAAACCATAACCAGGGAACAACCAGGTAAGCAGGTATAGGAAGAGAGGAGGGCAGCATCACATCATTTTGACTAGCTAAACATAATTGATTTTGTTCCAAGTGTATTGTGTTGTATCTAGATAACTAGACAAAGCACTTTAAGCTGATTGGCTGGGATTTAGGGTAGAAGAACTCTTGGGAGCTTTCCAGCTTTCTGGGAGTAAGGAACATGTCTTGATTGTTAACTGAAGCCGAGCATGCATTTATCATCTGTTGTTTGATTCTAAGCAGGGACTATTGAACTACTGAATTGTATCCTGGTCTCAGGCATGTAGACCTGAGAACTTGAACTTAACTTCACCTTATGCTCAAAATGGAGACTTGCAGGCAAAATGGCTTCTGATATGCTAAAGGCTGCAGCAGGTATAGAGGGGCCATAGTTAAGCTAAGAACTAAAGTAGGTCTCAACAGAGGGGCTAGAGAGTTTAAGCAGGTTACAACAAAACTTGAGGTAACCAGGAAAGACATCCTGATGACTATGATTGATGGTTGATGTTCTTCTTTGATTTAGGGACCAGTCGGTCATCCTGGGAGCCCTGGGTTGAAGGTAAGTTCTGAAGACATCATTAGAATCTGCCCTCTGTGAATAACTGGTCGTGGACTCTGTCTCCATCATACCTTTCCTCTTATCACACTTCCCACTTAAGTAAACCTTAATGAGTTACACAGATAAAAGTCTTAATTGCTTTTCATCACCTTTTGAAAACTAAAAAGCAATTCGAGTTGTTTTCTTTTCCTTTCAGGGAGATTCTGCTGCAGGATTAAAAGGGCAAAAGGGAGACCCGGTAAGGATCGCTTGTGAAGAAGGGCAGATGTTAGGATGTGTGCCTTCTCTAGTAACAGAGGCCCTTGCAATCATTAGTGTTCATTGGGCAGACACTGTCCAACTCTATAGCTCATAACTTTTGTTTGCTGAGTTAGCTTACCATAGCTGTAAAATGACAGTTCTCACAGAGGATAGTACCAGGTCTAGGAAAGTAGCTTCATGAGTGGGGTACTCTAGGAAGGTGCTTTAAAGTGGTGGCTTATCTGGGCTTCACCTGAATGCCCAACATGGCGTAGGTAGGTAGGTTCGTCTTTTGCCAGACTAGAGAAATAGCTCTTGAGCATGCATTCCATGGCAAGGTGGGGTCGACATTAGTAAGACAGACCTGTTCCCTGTTGACACGGAGTTCCAGGGTAGTTGAGCTACAGCACAGCTGTTTAACAAGAGTCAGGAACACATACGAAGACTTCCTGATGTAGGAAACGCCCCCATAGGATAGTGAACATGAAGGCCAGGTCGCAGAACTAGAAACTCAAGTTTGTAAAAGGAACAACAAAGGACACGAATGTCAGGCGTGGTGATGCATGCCTGCAATCCCAGCCTTGGGGGGGTGAAACCTTGTCCGTGGGAGCACACATACAGACGCATGTGCACACACGCGAACACACACACACACACACACACACACACACATTCTTGGAAAAGTTGGGCAAAGTGTTCCATCCTTTTCAGCACAGCATTAGGGAGGTGGAGATAGGAGGATTAGGAGTTCAGGACCGCTTTTTTTTTTTGACGGGGGGGGGGGGCTACATAACAAGTTTGAGGCCAGTTGGCTACATTAGACATTATCTAAAACTTAAAAGAAAATAATAAAAGCGGAAACACCGCTCTACCTGTGTGTTACTAAGTATCGCTGGGCGATGTGGTTGTGGATCGATCACGTTTTATTCTTCAGGCTTTCCTTTGTATGTGTGGCCATGCTAATGATATGATACTTTTTAGGATATGAAAAACATAGTAGCATGGCCCAGTTTGGAAGATACTCCCTTTTTGTTGGTCCGTACATGTTGTGTTTGGACTTCAGCGGTGAGGCCAGGGGTGGTTATCATCATCAGTACATATTGCTTACTCCTGTGCTGTTTATGTGTTTGTTCAGTCATCTACTTACAAAATATATGTGGCGGCCAATATATCAACACTGTTAGCTAACAAGATAAACCTCACAGTATACCTAACTTCTGAGCACTTCGAGAGCCTCCCTGGTCTGTGCAGAGCCAGAGTCCTCAGTTACACTATTTTCAGTAAACTTGAGATGCTATCCTTCCTGAAGACACCTAGACGTGCCAGGCAGTCCATGTTAGCCTCCAGCCTGTGATGCTTCGGCCTCAGCCTCTTATGGGCTGAGATCACTATGGGATTATTACAGTTAGCTTGATGCTAGTTTTGAAACTGCATTTCACAAGACGCCGTTCACACTCACGAGGAGACGAGTGTGTATGTGTGAGCATGCATTGTGTGCGATGGCGTGCGTGAGTAATCACCACAGAACCCTACGCCAGCTGTCTTGTCTCTAATAGCAACATTGTGGATCATTTTTGTTTTTATTTTTTATAAAATCTTAAGTCATATTTTCGTAAGAATAAATAGAATAAATAAATAGAATAAATAAATAGAATTTTGTACCACACAATACATTTTCCATGATTTTTATTTTTAATCTAGGACACAGAGGGTTGGAAACATTATTTGTGGGTGAAAGTTTTTTGGGTTTTGTTTTGTTTTGTTTTGCTTCAAAACATAAGTTAAGATGAAATCCCTATTTTCTTGATGTTTCTAAAGGGTGAAGTTGGCCAGCACGGTCCTCCTGGGCCCACCGTGGTTGTGCAGCCACCTGAGTTGAGTCTCTATAAAGGAGAGAAGGTAAGGCGCACTCACCTCCCAAGTCACCTCGTGAGGCACGGATAGGAGACCTTTCCTGCACATGTGCGGGGCTGAGCTTCTCGGCACCGTCACACGAATCTCAAAGCTGCCTCAGTTGCCTGGTCCTCCTGTCATTCCCCGTGGGAGGCTTAGAGCCGTAGCATGTTCTTAGCTGCCGAGGGGAGCACTGGGCATGGGCTGAGCCAAGTCCCCCACAACCCAGGACCTCAGAATGCTGTTCCGATGTGCTGACGGCAAAGATCAGGGGGAGTCCCGCTGCCCTTTCAGAGGTGGGCTTCGTGTTTGGAGGGCCGAGAAGCTAACAAGTGAACAGAAGTGGGCACATAAGAGGCTTTGGGAAAATCCTGATTCACCTGGCCACCTCCGACACTGCATCCCCAATGCCGGATGCGCGGCCTGCACTCGTAGTAAAACTATGGCTTAAACTCTCCTACCTTACCAAAAACAAGCACATTCTCCCGACAGCTGTATTCCCAACCCTGCATCTGACGTCCGTTTCTGTAGCTCACCTCCATGTCCCCATATGCTTCTCATACTGGCCCAAATAACACCAGGGTTTTAGGTCGTCTTAAGTCTTAGTTGCTGATTTGATCCCTTACACACTTTAAAAAGAAAGCCTAATGAGAAACAGGTTGTCAAAAGAAATGATTTATGAAGCGTATGGAATTCAGTGAACACTATGTAATCGGATTGTATCAATCATACTTTTTAGGGTATAAAAGGAATTCCTGGAATGATTGGACCTCCAGGACCTCCAGGACGCAAGGTAATTTAAATTCCTTTCATTTATTAAAGCGAGACAACGTCTTCATCTAATTTGTTTGCGTGGCTTTATCATTACTTTAATTACAGCTGGAATTTTCCATTATCTAGTATAACCTCACAAACTTTCTCTGTAAAGAAGTGGCTCTCTTTAAGCTGTTTTGGACATTTTATGTTTTGTCAAAAACGTCATAACATTGTCATCTTTTATAGGGAGTGCCTGGTATCGGGATGAAAGGCGAGAAAGGCATTCCTGGGTTCCCAGGGCCCCGGGTAAGGATCGTTAGTCCTAAGCCTCAGGAAGTTTGGAAGCATTGCTTGATCACACACCTTCGAGACTATAACTGTGCCCCATGAGCTAAAATGTAGAAACTGTCTCACATACAGCGACATATTTTGCACAAGAGCTAGGGTGTTCCGTTCCATGTCTGTTATTTGGAGACAACAGGCACAAGACAGTGGAGCCGGGGAGGCGGGTGACAGGGTTGTGGCTGTTTCTGTTAGCTCACTTTCAGTGTGGCAGGTTGCCTGTTCTGATTAGTTTGAACCTGCTTCATAAACTAAGGTGTCGATGGAAGGGTATCTAGGAAGAAAGCACTCTGTCTGCCCCTAGATGTCACCTAACGTTGTCAGTAATGGCATGCTCTGTGGATGCACTAGAGAGGCCTAGTCCAGTAGGCTTAGGTAACTCTAGTTTTGGTACCAAATAGTCCATTACTGGCTTTTGCGTCATTTTTATTGCTAAAGTTGCACAGAGCAAACTGTTCATTTCCATGCAAATGAATGTACTGCAGATTTTAAAGATATTTGACCTAGTGCAAGCTTTATGCTAAATAATTTAACTTGGAAGAGTAGAAACAGCAAAAGCATGCATATTCTTAATTAAACACTGGCAATGATGTGAATTTTCTGACTAAGAATAAAGCTTAAGTGGAATGAAAAATGGCCGAAGTACATAGAACCCATTTTATGGTGATTTTGTTCTGCCGAATATCAATGCATATCAAGACTATGTAATATTATTCTGCTGCATATCCAAGCACATCAAAACTATCTATCAATACAAGATTATCAAAGATAAAAACATCATGCCTTATGTTTGTGCTCTCCTTGTTGATTTTTTGTAATTATTAGGGTGAGCCTGGTTCCCATGGATCTCCAGGTTTTCCAGGATTCAAGGTTAGTGCACATCCTGGCAGAGGGGACAGATGTGTTTCCAATAGTGCAGGGGGCTTAGCACCATGGTGAAGCTGTACTTTTGTGTGTGAACGCTGACAGGAATTGGAAAGGCAGATGAATTCTTTGTTTTTCTTAGGTCTTAATTTACTACATTTATTTATTTTATTTGTGGTGTGTGTGTGTGTGTATGTGTGTGTGTGTGCATGGCCCTGTGCATACGTGAAGCTGAGGACAGTTTGAGGGAGTCTGTTCTTTTCTTCCGCTGTTTGGGTCTGGAGATAGAACCTTGGGCTTTGTGGTCAAAACCTTAACTCATGGAGTCATTTCACCCTGTCTTAGTTAGGGTTTCTATTGCTCTATTGCTGTGAAGAGACACCATGACCACGGCAACTCTTACAAAGGGAAACATTTAACTGGGGCTGGCTTACAGTTCGGAGGTTTAGTCCATTATTGTCTTGGCGGGGAGCATGATGGTGTACAGGCAAATGTGGTGCTGGAGAAGTAGTTGAGGGTTCTACATTCAGATCCTGCGGCAGCAGGAAGAGAGAAAGACACTGAGCCTGGCTTGAGCTCCTGAAAGCTCAAAGCCCACCTGCAGTGACACACTTCCTCCAACAAGGCCATACCTACTCTAAGAAGGCCGCACCTCCAATAATGCCACTCCTTACGAAGCTATGGGAGTAATTTTCATTCGGACTACCACACACCCTATCCATGTTTTATTTTAAAGATTTAGTTTCATTATATATTTAATTTATATATTTAAATTATATATATTTATAAAATGCATATATTATAGAATATATTATGTATTACATTGTGTTAATATAATTCATCTGAGCGTGTATTTATATAATTTTAAATTATGTCGTTTATCTAAACGTGTATTTGTATAATTTAAAAGTGTATGTAGAGTTATGAGCACATGCAAGTGCAGGCGCCCACAGAGTCCAGAAGACATCAACAGCTATGAGCCACCCAGCAAGGATCATAGGAATCCACAACCTCCTGCAAGAGTAATTCACGCTCCACACCACTGTAGCATCTCTTCAGCTCCCTCTGGGTTTCCTGAAACAAGTTTTGCGTAGGCCAGGTTGGCCTGGAACTCATTACAAATTTGTGTAATTGAGACTGGTCTCGAGCCCCTAATTCACTGATCCTATTACTGTTTCATCTTAAGTGCTAGGATTACAAGCCTGTGCTATACACCTGGCTTAAATAATTTCATTTTATGTATGATACAGTGGTTTTCAACCTGTGGGTCATGACCCCTTGAGCAACCCTCTGTCTCCAAAAATTATTAACATTATGATTCATAACAGTAGCAAAATTACGTTATGAAGTAACAGCAAAAACGGTTTTACGGTTGGGGGGGTCACGGCAACGTGAAGGACTTTATTAAAGGGGAACATCATTAGGAAGGTTGGGAACCACTGTATCACAGGATCGTGTTGTGGATTTTTAAAACTGAATTACAAAACTGATACAATCCAAGAGTGGTTCAGACTGCCCAGGGTCTCAGTGAGTGTGCGCTGTTTACGTTAGATGGGGGCGAAGTGACATCACCCCAAGCCTAGTGAGCTGTTTGAACTATGTCTGCGGTTGTTTGTAGGGGGAACAAGGACTGGCTGGAGATCCTGGGATGTTTGGATTTCTTGGTCCAAAGGTAAAACCGTGAGTCCAAGTCAGAGAAAATTTTAGATCATTCTGTTATCAAACTAAGGGCTGGAATATCTCAAATAATCAGTGTAACTTCTGAGAGAGACAGATGTAGTCTTATGAATCTTACTTTAATGCATGCTGTGTATTATGTATGAGTTTTCATGCCGTTATTATAATTAGTACATGAATCACAGTTGTGCTTATATTCGCGAAGCAATTGGTTTGAATGTGAATAATAATGAGAGTTTCAAATCTCTCATGAGATCATAGTATTGAGATCATCTGCTTTTGTAACACTGTGGCGGTTTTTTATTCCTTTGTTTTGTAACTTCTGGGATCCAATATTCAGTGCTTGTTCAGAGCAAGCCTGGCTCTTCTCAGAGGATATGATCAAATGAGAGACAATATTTTGCTGCTCTAATGAAATGCAGATTCAGGTCTTGCAAGGTGAATAAATTACTTACACTGGAATGCCTCGTTAGATACTAATGTTCAAAGTATATATAAGAAACGGAGTGACTTATATGGTACTTAACTTACGGGCACACAGTAATCAGTTTTCTGCAGTTCATGTTTTTATTTTTCTTTTGTTATAGCTTTGTCTGTTCATTGTTTATTTGTGGGTGTAGGTGACAGATGCCTGTCAGTTCCTTCTGGAACTCCTTGGCTGACTCACTTCTCTAGCCAGCCAGCTGTCTTTCCATCCCTGATGAATGTTCCTGTGGCAGTCTAACCTTTGCTTACTATCAGGAAGCATCGTTATTCCCAGGGAAAATAAATGAATGAATGATTTCAGGGGGATCCTGGAGATCGCGGGTACCCAGGACCACCAGGCATTTTGGTAACTCCACCACCTCCACTCAAAGGTTTGTGTTCAATTTAGTTCTTCGTAATTTATACCGAAATGGCCTAGACAGGTCGGGAAAAAGAGTTTGGTCCAGTGTTCCTGTGGCTTGCACTCCAGGGAGGATAAAGATCATGAATATTAATATTTAGATACTTTTCTCATCACTGTGACAAAATATACGGCGGAGGGGTTTATTTTGGCTCATGCTTTCATGATGCTAGGGAAGGCATAGTCCAGAAGTGCTGTTGTGGCAGATTTCAGCCGAGTCTACATAGGACGTTCATACTTGGAAGGAGGTACTAACTGCAATCAGGCAGAGCTATGTAGTACTTTCAAAGTTCCTTCCCCCATTGCCTTACTTCCACCATACTGGTCTTGCCTCTCTCTCTTTCTCTCTCTCTCTCCCTCTTTGTGTCTCTCTGTGTCTCTCTCTCTTTTTCTCATTCTCAGAGTGGTTCAAGGAAGGGTTTCTCTGTGTAGCTCCAGCTGCCCTGGAACTCACTCTGTAGACCAGGCTAGCCTAGAACTCAGAAATCCTCCTGTTTCTGACTCCTGAGTGCTGGGATTAAAGGCATGAGCTGCCACTGCCTGGCCTGGCCTCACGCTTTTAAGACTCAGCGACCTCCAAAACCAGTGACACCAATTGGGGTTGGAAGGTTCAAACTCATGAGGGATGACATTTCAGCTTCAAGCCATAGCAGTTACCATGAAGATGTCGCTCAATGTTCAGAAAGAACCTTGCATCCTGGGCTCATGTCCCACTGGCAAATGACATCAAATTTTAATTCAGAATGTAAATATGTGGCAGGTTTTTTATTATTTAAATTTTCAGAAAATAGTTTTTCTTTAGCTGCTAAAAAAATAAAAAGGAGTGAGTTCATTTGACTAACATCTCCCGAGATGTCTGTGAAAGAAGCCTAAATCAGTACCAGGGAACTCTGCTCAAGGCTCGTATGTCTGCAGAGGAGAGGCAGTCAAAGGGGACCCAGTCTGGCACACCCCTTTTGAAATGTGTCAAGAAACTGCAAAAGTGTCTCCTACTTGGACTTTACCGAGACTCACAAAGATTCCTGAATTTCAAGATGTGTGTGGACATTTGTCTAATTACATCTATTGTCACCGTTGTCAGGTCCTCCAGGGGACCCAGGGCCTCCAGGCCGCTATGGAGAACTTGGAGAAGTTGGACTGCAGGGTCCACAAGGACCCCCAGGCAGACCAGGGGAAGCTTGTCCAGGTATGAATCAACCATCTGTCTCAGTGGATTTCCTACCCATACCAGCTGCAATCCTCAATTCTAGCTGATAAGGAGGTGGCCTTAAGAGTTTAGGAAAGATGGTTGCCTGTGTCCACTCCAGGCCCCCTATGCTAAGCTCTGATGTCATAGCAATGGCCTTGGGTTTCTAACATCTTGGAATGCAAACGAATCAAAAGGAGGAATATAGGTTCCTTTACATACATACACACCCACACATACACAAACACACACAGTCTTGGACAATCAGAACTGTTGTGAAGCAAGTATTTGTATGACAGGCCTTCCATTAGATTTCTACTTTCAGAGAACATTTGAAACTTCTGCTAGCTAAAGTATTTACTTAGTTTTACTACTGTCCTGGAAGATTCTATCAGCTGAAATCTACTTGCAGAATTCCACCCATCTACCTAGGTACTGATACTCTATGTCAGATATGCAAATAAACAAGGATTTCAAAAACCTTTGATACATCCTTACTTAAAGTGAAAGGCTCTTTCTCCTTTGCCCAAAGAAAAAAGAGAATCAAGGGAAGCATAGTTTACATGACATTTGACAGAACCTAGAGCAAGTTCTTGCTGCCATAAGGGCCAAGGACCCCTTTGGTAGCTGTGCTGGTCTATATTCCAGTAAGATCAGGAATGGGAGTTTGAAGCCCTTTTCTATTCTGTGAACCCAGGGGAACAGACTAAACCCAGCAGGAGAAAAATCTTGAGTAAATATTTTGCCCAGCCTGTGTCTCTTGAATTTACCAAAGAGTGTTAAGAAATTTGGGGAACTACTCAAACACTACCAAGTTGTGTTCACTTCTCCACAAATCTAACTTCTTCAGTTTTTTAGAGTCTGACAACAACAATATCAAAAAGCCTTGTCCAGATGAGTCAGTCTTTGGAGGCTGCAGTGTGGGTTTAATTGACACCGGATTATATCAGCCAGCAAGACTACCCTCTCTTGGTCAGAAAACACTGAACTACAGTCTTGGCTTTTTGTTTATAATAAAATCATGGGCTGGAGAGATGGTTCAGCCATGTAGGCTCACAATCAAAAATATAATAAAATCATATCTCCATGAATTGAAATCTACCCCCTGGGAACAACATATTCAAATATACAGGAAGATTCTTAAGTCTTTTTAAAAACAGATTACTCCTGTTCTGGGAAGACAGCTCAGTCAGGAAAGTGCTTCTCACTCAAGAGTGAGGACCTGCGTTCAATCCCTGGGTCCCACCCAGGTGTGGAGGTGCACTCTGGGAAGCATAGGGCAGAGAGAGACAGATTGATCCTTGCGGCTCACTGGCTAGACTGCCTAGCCAAACTGGTGAGTTCCAGGCCCGTGAGGGACCCTGTCTTACAAAAGGAGACAGACAGCATCCGAGTAAGGACATGTGAGGCTAAGCTCTGCCCTTCATATATGCACACACGCATACATGCATTTGCCACGCTTCACATGAGTTCAGACAAACAGATACAGCATTCACACCAATCAAATTAACCCAGTGGCTTCTGAATCTAAATATGACCCACAGTAAGACATAGATTTTTATTTTGCATTACATTTCTATCTCATTACCAAGTGTATATACATTAGTTACAATTCAGACTTCACAGGATAATTTTCAGGACATGATATAACCTATTTTCTGTTCCATTTTTTTACTCTGGGGGGCAAAAAGAACTAATGCTAGCCACACTTAATTGGTTCTGTGTGAGAGTGTTGGGTGGCCGGGCCAAGGTGTGTCATAGATTCTAGCCCGTTCTGGTGAAGAGGGTTGGGTATTGTTCCTGGTACTGGGCAAAGCAACAGGTAGTGTCCAGTCAATGTGGAGAAAGCTGCAAGGTCTTAGGAAGGGCGGGAAGACAGATGGCGCCCAACTCACAGAGGTATTTGCATTTGCTGTTAGTACAATAGTTTATATAGGACTCTTTGTTTCATTTAGTTGTTACCTACCTCGTCTAGCACAGGATAAGTGGGTTTCAGACTCAGACCCTTGCAATTGGATCAAGCCTTGCCACACAGTAGACGGTGAACGACCCACTGCAACGTTACAGTCGCCGCTCTTTACAAACTATGTCGTCTTGGACACTTACGGAGCCTCTCTGTTCCTCATTCTCCCCATTTATAAGAAGGCATCTTGTTGGTGTTGGAAGGTGTATCAGGTGGGCAGGCCTGAGGACCCAGCCTGCGTAGTAAAGAATCGGTGTGTGCGCTGTTATTCCGGCTACTGATGCTACGTGCACCTGCTATGCCGTAGCTGTACATAGGGGAGCGGTCACTGCCATCTCTCCTGCCTCAAGTCCATCATTATTATTATTATTATTATTATTATTATTATTATTATTATTATTATTATTATTATTAAACTGCATCCTGCTCTTCTTTTTCTTTAATACAGTTTATTCAAATTATTGTGGTGTGGCTCCTGCTTTTTACCTAGCAATTAGCCTTGTGAAAAAGCAGAACTTTTGTCCTATTTTTTTTTCTAATTTTTAATTTGGCAATACACTTTCTCCATGTAGCCCAGGCTAGACCCAACCTTATGATCCTTCTGTATCCATTTCCCCAAATCCCTTTCTCTCTCCCTCTCCCTGTCAAGCTTGGATGACTTCCTATCTGTGTCTGCGTAAAGTATAGCACTTGATGTTCTGCGCACAGCAAGGTCATTACCACAGCCTAGTGGGCTAACACGGCGGCCTTGCCTGCATCATCGTCGTTGGCTCGTGTGCATGTGTGCCTGCGTGTGAACGGAAGGAGTATTTTATTTAAGATCTCTCCTCTTAGCAACTTCAAGTAGACCGTGTGGCTTGTTAACTACCCCGCTGCATGCTACACACTGGATTTCCAGAGTGTCCTCAGCTCTCCTGAAACCCTGCCCCCTAGATCAACACCTCCATACTCTCCACTTCTTTCTTCCCCCCAAATGGCCATTCTGTTCTCCTTCAATGAGTTTAACTATGTCAGAGATCACAGGTAAGTGAGGTCACAGGGACCTCCTCTTTCCATGTCTGGCTTGATTTGCTAGGCAGGGTGTTCGGTTTCAGACCTTTTCCTCTAAATGTGCTGATTGTGATTTCTATCAAAACGTTTACTCTTGCGAACATGTGTAATTTCCACCTTAATTTTCCATGCAGGCATGGTGGGTCTCCCAGGGTTTCCTGGTCCTCCAGGACTTCCAGGGGAAGCTGGTAGTCCAGGAAGAGTCTTCTGTGCCCCAGGAGAACCAGGGAAGCCAGGACCGCCTGGCCTGCCTGGAACACCAGGACCAAAGGGGCCCCCTGGCCCAGATGGTAAAATGTTCCTCATTTATCTTTATTAACTCTTATGCTGCAATTCCTATATATAGGTTAATTCATAAAGTACAGTTTTATAAACACTTTAAAACTTGTGTAATATTTTATGGGTCAAGTTAGTCATATTATAATTCTTTTTTATAAATATGGAAAATGATATTGAACTATCAATTAAAATATGTGAAATTTATTAATTGTGAATTTAAGGATGAATGATAGGATTTTATAAATTGATAGATTTTTGCTTTGTCAGTATAGTTTTTATTTTTATTGGACTTACATGTGAGCTTGGTTTAAAAGTCAAACTGTTCCACAGAGCCTGTTATGCACAAAAGAGATGTGAGGCTATGTCTTCTCCTGTTCCTTCCTACCCAGAGACAACTATTTTCACACACATAGCTGGATCTTTTGATATTTGTTTCTACATTGTCATCCATCACACTTGTATTTCTGTTACTCAAGTTTTTGCTTTGTTCATTGGCATTTGACTCCTCCCTACAAAATTAACCATTGTTCATTTACTCTATATGTACACATTTTCCATTCTCACTGCCTGCTGGGAGTGATATTGTTATAATTTGGGTTATAGAAATATTCGGCGCTTCCATTTATTGGTTTTTAAGTTCTACCCACCAGCTCAGCCTATAATTATTCATTTTTAAAGATTTATTTAGTTTTTCTGTGCATTGGTATTTCACCCACATGTATGTCTGTGTGAGGATGCTGGATCCTCTAAAACTGGAGTTACAGACAGTTGTGAGCTGCCGTGTAGGTGCTGGGAATTAACCCAGGTCTTCTGGAAAACTAGCCAGTGCTCTTAACCACCAGCCCGATACATTTCTTACTTTTTACAGAAACATTTGGTAAATTGTCTTTTGTGAGTGTGTCCATTTGTGTTTGATTGACTTTCAATTTAGTTACTTGCAATTAACCTGAAACCTCCTAGAGTTTTTTTATCTGTCATCATTATGTACTCTAAGTCATTAAATAGCCTTACAATGTTACTTTTAAAATAAATGTTTCCTGGAGCTTTTTGACGTTTTCAAGTTAGTAAGGTTGCACTTTTGACACATTGCTGAGCTACTTGGAGCTTTTCGTTCACAGTTATTTTAAATTGTTTTCATCTAATACCATTTAAATACACTATTGTAGAAATGATGATAAAAATTACAAGTTCAGATGTGATTGATTTCCTTGGCCTCCTTCTCCCTTCCTTTTTGCCCACTCTGTCCTTCCTGTAGTAATTCCTCTTCGCTTTTGACATCTCATATATTCTGATGCCCTTCCCATGCCTTCCCCTAAAGCAGCAATTCTCAACTTTCCTAATGCTGCAACCCTCATGGGGTGGTGACACCCAACCATAAATTTATTTCATTGCTACTTCATAACTGTGATTTTGCTGCTGTTTTGAATAGTAATGTAAGTATCTGATATGTAGGATCTCTGATATGTGACCTCTGTGAAATGGTCATTTGACCCCAAAAAGAACTCCTGTCTTTAAACCTCTTTTCCCTTCTCATGAACCTCCTTCTAGTTTCTTTGCTCCTTTCCTCAGCTACCCCCACTTGAAAACACATGTTTAACCTTTAGAAGCTAGAATCCACATACAAGGAAGAACACGTCACATTTGTTTTTCTGAGCCTGTGTTACATCTGTATTATATTTTCTAGTTCTGTCAATTTCACTGCAAATTTCATAATTTAATTGTTTTTAAATATGGAACAAAATTCCATTGTTTATATAAACCACATATTTATGATCAATTTGTGTGTTGATGAACATCTAGGCTGATGAAAAGAGCAGTAATAAACATGAATTCACTGTTATTTCCTCCACATTTCTCTGGTGCTTTACCTTCCACTGGTCAGATTTCCTTCAATTGCTTCCTCTCACACTACACTTCCAGAGAAATATTAGAAATAAGAGAGTAAATCTGGGGACCACACTTATCTAACATACATTTGCTCTACCGGGTTGTCTGATGGATAGTTTAGCTGAGCATAAAATCCTGGGCTGGAAACCTTTCTTCTCAGGATTTCATTCTCTAGACTCCAGTGAGACGACTGAGGACTCTACTATTTTAATGTCTGGTCATATGTTTGAAATCTATTTACATTTTGGAGGCTTTTAAAAATAATTTCTTCAACCCCATCTTCTAGCTCTTACTGAATTTATAGAATGTTTTGTTGTTGTAATTACTAGTGTATTTTTGTTCCTGAGAGCTTAGTTGATGCTGTTGTTATTGTCCAGTGTTTCCTTTTGCAGCAATCTGTTTATTTATTAGTATGAAATAGTGCCCCTCTCCACTGTTTTAATTACATGTTTTTTTACAATGTTTTTCTTGAAACTTTGTTTTGTTTATGTTTTTGAAGGGTTGTTTTATTTTCAGCTACTATTTTTTTTTGAGAGGAGTCTTCCCATCTAAATATTTCATTATCAAATCATTGTTTTGAGTCTGTCTATCATTCTACTATATAAGCTCCAGAGGAGATTCTATTGTGAAGCCTGCTTTTTTATTTTTAATTTTTTTCCCTTGTCATTTTTCATTGATGCTTGGATGTTAACATCTTTAGGGCCTACTGGATTTTTTTTAACCTTCTGTTGTTCATGTTTTCCAGTCTTTTTATCCTAGTGGCATGTCTAGAGAATGTAAAAGTATCATTTGCAGTTTATCTGTCATCTTTAACCAGATGTCTTAAAATTTTTGCTTTTGCAAGCCATGCTTTGTTTTTTCTTCAGTATCTGGTAGTTGGTAAATGAAGGAGAAAAAACAATTATTGCCATATCCTGGCTCTGCGTTTTGTTGCTCATGATTTATTTTTCTTTGGTATTTATTGTTGTCATCTATTATCTCATTCTGGAGCCCATTATCCTAGGGCTGGCATTAAGGATGTCTATATCAATGGTGATGGTAGAAGAAACTTGTTATGAGAATAGCATAATCTAGATGTGTAGAGATAAAGGGAGAGGAGGAGGGAAGAAGGGATGGACAGAGGGAGAGGGAGAGAGTTGGGAAATTGGAAATCATGAATTGAAACAGGGGGCAGATATAGGAAACAGAGGGAAGAGACTGTGATTCCACCACACTGGTGCCCTCGAGGAGACTTTAACTAAATCATGTAATTCTGTCTGCCAACCCCTTGCCTCCAAACAGTGTTATATTGTAGTCCTGGGTGCCCTGGACCAATAGGAGAAAAGGGGAAAATGGGTCCCCCAGGAAGAAGAGGAGCCAAAGGAGAAAAAGGCAAGTACGCATGAAGGATAGAATTTATACATGGCAGAATTTATACATGTAGAGGACCAGGAGAAGGGTGTCTATGAGAAGGACAACCTATCATGCCATGCAAGCTTATTTCTCTCCTTTGTGGCTCTCCATGAGGACTGCATGCCAGTGTGCATTCCAGTGTGAACAAGTCACCAGTTCTGTCAGACAGAAGCTTCTTACACTTGGCCACTCATGACCCATTTTTACCTGAGAATTTTTGTGCCGCTTTAAGTGTATAGGTATATAAAACAGGTGTACAAATCAAACCTTTATCAATAATAAATGATTGGGAAATTTGTTCTAAAATACTTCTTTAATGGATATAAGTATTATTATTTAAATATGAAAGCAAGTTTGCATGCTAATATGATAAAGGTGTATATTTTGCATAAAGAATTAAATCTTGGCTGAATGTTTAATGCTGCAGGATATAGATCATCTTCAAGGTTTTCGAGAGTAAACTGATATTTTGATTTTATAATCAAAGCTGAGAACATTGTTTTGCATAAACACAAAGCCTAAAACTACAGAAGTGCATTTAAGTTCATTTTAGGAAACTCTGTCCTAACCCCCAAGCTAAAATTTATTCACAACTTTTTTTTTCTTTTTGATATTTTAAAATATGTATTTATTAAAATGTATTCACTTTGTATCTCCTCTGCAGCTCCCTCTCTCCTTTCCTCCCAGCCCCACCCAGTCTCCCTCTTCTGATATTCAAAATTCCTCTGTTGAGAATTCTCTGTTTAGGTTTTATTTCTCTGTTTTATTTTTATTTATTTATAATTTTTTTTAAAATTTTTTTTGAATTTTATTTTTTTCCTATCAGTTACATTTTATTAACTCTGTATCCCAGCCGTGTCCCGATCCCTCATTCCCTCCCAGTCCCTCCCTCCCTCCCTCATCTCCACCGTGCCCCTTGCCAAGTCCACTGATAGGGGGGGACCTCCTCCCCATTCAACTGATCCTGTTTTATCAGGTATCTTCAGGACTGGCTGCAAAGCTCTCCTCTGTGGCCTAACAGGACTGCTCCTCCCTTGGGGGGGTGGGGAGGCCAAAGAGCCAGTCATTGAGTTCCTGTTAGAAATAGTCCTTGTTCCCCTCACTATGGGAAACCAATTGGTTACTGAGCTACCACAGGCTACATCTGAGCAGAGGTTCTAGGTTACATTCATACATGGTCCTTGGTTGAATGTCAGTCTCAGAAAAGACCCTGTGCCCAGATATATTTGGTCCTTGTGGAGCTCCTATCCTTTCCTCATCAGACTAACTCCCCTTCTTTCTTATGATTCCCTGTACTCTGCCAAAGGTTTGGTCATGAGTCTTTGCTTTGAAAACACTGCTAGTTAGAGTTTTTCAAATGCGCTCAGTAGACTCCTGTCAATGTTCAATGCGCATCCTATCTGTCTTTCAAAACGAGGATTGATCATCTTACCCCATGTCCGCTCTCTTGATTATCTTCTTTAGGTGTATAGATTTCATTATGTTTATCATATCTTGTAGGTCTATATAAGCGAGTATATACCGTGTTTGTCTTTCTCCTTCTGGGATATTTCACTCAGGATGATCTTTTCTAGATCCCACCATTTGCCTGCAAATTTCATGATTTCCTCCTTTTTGATTGCTGAGTAGTATTCCATTGTGTAAAAATACCACAATTTCGGTACCCATTCCTCCGTTGATGGACATCTGGGTTGTTTCCAGGTTCTGGCTATTACAAATAAAGCTGCTACAAACATGGTTGAGCAAATATCCCTTTTGTATTCACAACTTTTTAAAATCAAGTCAGCAACGACCACAGCAATTTTAAAAATTAAGCAGTTTAAAATAATCCACTCCAAAGACATACCAATTTAATATTTAGACACCGAGGGATTGTGGAAGGACAAACAGTGAAAGGCTTTCTCTCCGTAACGAAACCACTGTGTCTGAATCAGAGGAGAAAGCTTTGTGCGACAACATTGCAAACAGCAGCACTGCAATTCCCAGCACAGAACAGAGTAAAAGCTGAGATGAGGGGTTTGGGCAGCATGCCTAGGTGTTGTGACATGGCGTGCATGGCGCAAAATGCATGTTGTGTGTCCAAAAAAAAACAATTGCCACAGTGAAGTCATGAGCTAGTACAAGGGTGAGAGCTGGCAGAAATATTTTGAACTCACTTGGAATTGTTTTTTGGCATTGCCTTTCACTGTTGCCATTTGTTTGTTTGTTTGTTTGTTTGTGACCTCTCATGCTTGGTTATTCAGCCCCATAGAGGGTTGATGCCCACAGTTTATAAAAGCAGGACTTAAGAGTGTAAAGGCCACGCATTTTTTTCTTCAGGGAGCAACTTTGCTCACATGGTCCTCATGTACAGATTAGGCATTGTTGATGTTTTCTCTCCGTGGATCTCATGTTTTCTGCACTCACTGAATGCCTGTGGCTCTGTCCTTCCTCTCTAGCTTGTCAGAGCCTTTTGGCCAACCGGGCCAGCCAGTGTGAGAGCAAAACCACAAACCAATTTGACTTTCTCAAGCTTTAATTTTTCAGACTGAATGTTCTGATCATGAGGGGATGTTTTGTAGGGAATTAGCAATTGTAATGTGCCATCCAATCAATAACCAATAATGAAGATGCATTTTGTTTCTTTGATTATTCAGGGTCATGCCATAATTAATTTATCTATATAGTTAGTGTAATTTGTTCATTTTTGTTTTCTCAGTAACAGATTTAAAAAAAAAAAAAACCCTTTCAATTATTCACCAAAACTGTATGTTAGCTTTAGGTGAATTTAAGGCACAAATGATTCCTTTTATTTAGAGAGTGTGTGCCCATCTCACACAGACCATGTGACAGATGACCCCACCCCCTGCCCGTCGCTTCATTTCAGCCCTCATGTAACATACTCTCACCCCACACAGACTACGCCATCTGCCCCTCTACCCTGCCCCAGGCTGCACTTCAGCCCTTGAGTCACTGGTCTTGTCCCACATAGACCACGCTAGAGACATCGTCCTGTCAGGAGCCGCACGCTAGCTGCATGGCACGTGGTCTCAGTGCTCTGTGATAGGAATTGTGTCCTGCAGATCTCTTTTTATTCTCTAGTCATACTCTTTATTTATGTTCTAATTGCAACTTCCCCTTCCTCTTCGCCTCCTAGTTCCTCCCTCTCTCCTGCCCTTTGCCTCAGAAAAGGGGAGGCCTTCGTTGGATATCAACCAGCCTTTGTATTTCAAGTTGCAGTAAGACTAGGCATATTTTCTTTTATTCAGGCTAAACAAGGCAGCCCAGTTAGGGGATGTTTTTTGTAGTAACATCCCCCTTTTATTTTTTATTTTTTTGTATACACACACATGTATTTGTAGTAAATATATATTATATATAAATATATATTTATTTATATATAATATATATTATGTATATATAAATAAATGTATATTATATATAAATTTATATATTATAAATATATATATATTTACTGGGGGTTTTGTCAGAAACTATGTCAAAGCTGACTTTCCACCTCTGTCTAGGAAATGAGGGACTCTGTATCTGTCCTTCTGGTCCCATGGGACCCCCTGGCCCTCCAGGCCTTCCTGGAAGACAAGGAAGTAAAGGAGACTTAGGGGTTCCTGGCTGGCGTGGAGAAAAGGGCGATCCAGGCCAGCCTGGTGCTGCAGGACCGCCAGGACCACCAGTAAGTAACTCCTACTGAGCACAATCTCTTCTGCTAAACAAGCTGGACAGAGAGGGAACTTAGTATGCCCCTGTGGAGCGTTAGATGTGATGTATTGTGTGTTTTTAACCTATAAACATGTTAATGACCAAATACTTTCTTATATCCATTCATCCATATGTTCACCATTCACTTATTTAGCTAACATTATTATTAAATATAAATATCTCCCAGGCATGATTCTAAGTTTCTAGGGACAGAAACAGGGACCAGAGTAATATGTGCAGTTCTGGAGTTTTGGAGAAGACCCAGACTTAATGGTAAAAGAATTAGTAAATATATAGTATTGTTATATGAGGACAAAAGGCCACGGTCAGGTCATATGGTGTGACTTGAGTGGAGGAAGTGAGTTAGGGGAAGGAGGTCCTGGGTTTCATCCCCATCACACCTACACACACACACACACACACACACACACACACGCACGCACACACACACACAGTGACTAGCAGAGTGCAGATCATGGCTTTGCAGTTGGGTCAGGTTTGAATGTTTGTCCTGAGAAACATGGAACAGCCTGGGGAGTCCTAAGAAGAGGAGGCAATACTCCAATATTCATTTTAGATGGATCATCAGTTGCTCTGCGGAGAACACAGGTAAGGGAGGACGCATGGAGAATAAGTGGAAGGAAGCAGATTGGAAGGGCGGGCTGTGTGATAAGAGGAAGTCAGCTTCTAGATATCGTTTGACAGCAGAGCCCAAAGACTGGCTATTAGGTCAAATACACAATAATGCAGTACTAAATGGAAGTAGAGGTGGCAGTACTGTCCTTTGTCTGAGCATCTGGAGGCACTTCCCTTGAACTAGAATGAAAATACCGGAAAGACAGACATTTGGTGGGAAATGAGGTAGAACTGTTTGAGACATTTTAGGATTGGGTAATGAGTAGACAGATTGAAATGCCAAGTGTTTGGGTTGATAGCAAATTCAAGGATTGAGAAGCGTGGTCAAGGCTGGATGTCTGGAAAGTGGCTTTATTGGAGGCTATGTGATGTTTGGTCCTAAGAAAGGGATGAGTGTGGAGACAGAATCATACACAGAATAGAATCACTCTGGTCCAAAGAATCCTCCAACTGGATGAAGGAAGCCATAGCTGTGGTAATCTAGACAAACGAGCACACCATAGTCAAAGACAGCACACCATAGTCAAAGACCAGCGAGAAGCAGCTAAGCATGAACCTAACTGTCACAATATGGCGCCCACATGCTGAAGCCAGCCTCCCATCTGTCTGATCTTTACAAATAACATCACTGCTCACAGGAGTCCTCCCCTGGAGTCTGAGACAGCCCACTGTTCCTCTATGCTGAGGTGACCCAGGACTAAATTCTGAAGTTTCCAAGTCGTTCTCCATTTCTCCTAGAAGAATCTAATGAAGATGAAAATTCTGATCTTAAGTGAAAGTGGTGACCCAGATCTTCAGTCCAACCCTTCCCACATGTGCGCAGTACACCTGCAAAGCCGTCTCAGCAGGAAACTTAGAGGGAAAGGCTCAGTGTTATCGTTAATGCATGGATAGTGAACAACCATGCCGAAATTATTCTGTACTTTGCATGTTATAGATCGTTCTGTAAAATTTAATTTTTATCATGGTCAGGGTTTTTCTTTCTTTCTTTTTTTTTTTTTTTGTATGTTGCTACTTAATTTTTTTAGTGACTCTGAAGTATTATCGTGTCTTTATGCTTAGTTGCTTCCCGGGGCTAACATTTTTGCATTGTGTACTACTAGTTTGCTCAGGGCTATTCTGGGTAAGGTTCGGCTGTTCTAGGACTCATTGGGTTGACTCTGTTTCTGATGTATTCTCTCTATGTTATATTCACCACATTGTTCTTAGAGATGGGGGCCAGGATAAGGGCATGGGGGGAAATTCTTACTCCCCCTTCTCTTTCTTACCAATTTCCTGGCCACTTTCCCCACCTTCAACTGTGTGGAAGGTCTTACCTTACTCACTTTGCTCTCATTTTTACAGATTAAAGGCTAAAATAATTTAAAATATTTTTGATGATACATAGTTATTTAGGATACATTTTATTTAAGACTCACCATGAGGTCTTGTATCCACAAGGAATTGTCATGTGTTGTTGCCCCAGATTTTTTTTTTTAAAAGATTTATTTAAAAAATTTCTTACGGGCATCTATGAATATCTGCATGTATGTATGTGTGTCACGTACATGTGTGTATGAGCATCATGTGCATGCCTGGTGCATATGGAGGCTAGAGGAGGCAGCCAGCCCACTAGAACTGGAGTTACAGTGTCTTCAGAGTCACCATGTCGGTGCTGTTCACCAATGAGTTTCCTCTGCAAAGGCAGCAAGTGCTCTTAAACACTGAGCTGTCTCTCCAGCCCCAACTCCATGACATCTTAACCGTCGCGAACTGCTAAGATAAAAGAGGCACTGATAAATTTCTGCCAACCCAGATACAGAATTACGTAGATCTTAGCACCAAGAATGTTGAGTTTTGTACAATAGAGCCACTCTGATGCGCAGAAAAGAGGTAAAACAAAGATTTCCAAGACAGAACCTTTTAAACAGAAATTTAGAAGAGAAGGTGCTAGAAAGACAAGAAAAAGAATGACTTCTGCCCTATAAGAATTAATCTAAAGCACTGCTTTTAATTTTTTTTTTAACCAAGGGAAAACCTGGTGCCTTGGGGCCCCCTGGCCACAAAGGGGCAAAGGGTGATATGGTCATATCAAGAATGAAAGGTGAGTGTGACTGATTACTTAGCTCCCTGACACTTTATGAATGATCTGTGCACAGCCACTTGCATTGATTTCCCCTGTGACTGCAGATCAATTGTATATAATTTAAGATTATTGAGATTGCCTTAAGAGTATTTTCTGCCCATCATAGAATGGTGTGGCTACTGAGCACCGAATTTTCTGCCTCTTGTTTGAAATCATAAACATTCCTCTAGTGACATATTCAAATCTTCATTGTGGTGAGCTGAGTTTGAAGCAAAATCTCTTTTGACTTGTCTTCTGCATTGTAATGTATTCCAGTCGTCAATGGCATTTAAATTACAAGTAACAGATGCTTATTTTAAAGTAATTTATAGACCTACTAGACAGAACGTGAAAATGTAGGTGTAGGGTTCACACTTGAACAAACAGATCTAAGGCCTTGCATGGCATCAGGACATTCTCTTTGTATCCCTCATCTCTCACTGGTCTATGTCCATTTGGTCCTATGTCTGACTTTCTCTAGGCTACATTGCTCCAGGAATAGCATGCATGAGGCAGCTTCAAGTCCTTGAAATTAGAGAGGAAGAACTTCAGAAAGGATTGTGTAGTTTAGGACAATAATCTAACCGCCAACTCCCTCATCCACCAAGACCAGGACTAGACTGTTACGTGCACTGTCACTGAGACACGAAGTGTCCGTGACTGATCCCTCCATAAGTCTCCTCGTTGCTAAAATGGGAAGAGGAGAATTTCCCAAGTAAAGAGAGCCAGTAGTTTTCGCAACTGCTATTCTTCCCTTTGTTTTTGTAATGGTTTGGGTGACACTGGGCAACTGAGTCACTCAGGAAACTCGACCAACCCTCACAGAATAAACAGTTATTATTCTTATCCTGAGCCCTTTCTTCGCTTCTATTCCACTCCCCCATGTATGAGACCTTACAAGTCTTTTGCTTCATTTTTCTCAGGGCAAAAAGGAGAAAGAGGACTTGATGGGCCACCAGGATTTCCAGGACCACATGGGCAAGATGGTCAGGAAGGACGTCCTGGAGAAAGAGGGGATCCTGGGCCTCGAGTATGTGGAGTTCTGCTATAGAATCTGATTTTCTGAAATGTTCATACAAGCCAGGCAAGCAAGTATAGGCCATACTCTCACACAGTAGGGATCAAAATGTGTTGCATTTGTACCCACAGATATAGAAGGTAATGGAGCCTATCTGGGTACCTTCTAGTAAGGATGTAAGAAGCTCATTTGAGATTTTCATTTGTATGAGGATCTACCACTTGACTTACTTTTTTTATGTGTCACACTAATGTTAGTGGTTTCTACATACAAGTTTCTCTTCTGTATGTAAGGTATAATACAATTCACTTTCTGTTTGTGAGGCATAGACTATACATCTATATCATACATATGCATGTAAATACGCAAAGTATAAAATCTTAGAAAAAAATTAAATTAATTCTTGCAAGCCACACTTGTTGTAGAGTTACTGTCTTTTAAAACCTGGGATTTTAAACGTGTAGACTGCTTTGAATTCACGGGCTTTGAAAGATCAATAATAGACTTGTAACCTAACGTTCCCAGGGAGACCATAAAGATGCAGTCCCAGGTGAGAGAGGACTTCCCGGACTGCCAGGCCCTCCAGGAAGAGCAGGACCCGCTGGGCCTCCAGGCTTGGGATTTCCAGGCCCACCAGGACAGAGAGGCCGACCAGGAGAGCCGGGGAGCCCAGGCATGAGGGGCTTTGATGGCATGAAGGGGCAGAGAGGTAATTTCAGATATTATTCGGATGAGAGAACATTAAGTGAAATCATGAAAACTAGAGGGCGTTTCTGCTGGGCACAGTCATCGCCTCTGTGGCAGGCTGGCTAAATGAATTTCGTCCAGGTGCTGTGGAATGCTTGTAGCTTGTTCCGCAACTAAAAGCACTGTAGCACAGCCAATATTTAGAATGAGTGTGAAATGCTACTCTCTTTGCTACTTTGTCCTACCAACACTGCCTTTTATTCATTTCTCACTATCAACTCATAATGTCTAACTGTATTTAAATCATTCATATTATTCAAAGTATAACATTTTACAGTCTTCTGCGATTATGTGACATATTTTAATAAAAGATACACTAGTATTTTATTTAACAGAATATTGCCCATGAAAACGCACTTGTAAGCATTTTAGGGAGAGAAAAAAATGATATTTTAAGCATATTTGACCTATATGAACTTCAAAAAATAAAATTACTTTCTCAGTCATGACTGACAGAAAGAGGTTTATTTAATAATTTTTTTTCTTTTGTAACATGCATTACATCTTGAGCTATAGCAGTAATTTTGAAGTTTGGGGATAAAATACACTCTTTGTTTTGACAACACATAAAGACAAGTACCTTTTTATTTGATAAGAAGCAATTTTGTGGTATGAGACTCAGAAAAAATGTAATATCTTTTTTTTATCTTCCACATTTTAGCTTGAAAGTTCATGGAGTAATAAACTATGAGGTAGTGTTATTAAGGTGAAACTTTTGACTTTAGTAAGACATGAGAACTCAGGGGCACAGGCTTTGAGTAACTTCACCAATTAAACTGGCCATGACAGTACCTTCATTGCTGAGTCTCTGGAAAACCAGGAGACAATAGATCCTAAGAACCTGTCCCACAGAGATCTCTAAATGGCAGCTGTCATTGATATCTAACACAGTCTCTTCATTTGTGTAGCTCCCTGGAGTCAAAGAGCAAGGGCAGCTGAACTCAGTGCCAAGTTTATGAACTCAGAGCTTCCCCATGATCTATCAACATTTTCTATCCATCCCACCAGAACCTGTGTGTCTATAGCTATCATTTATATTAATAATTTACATTTTTCCAGGTTATTAGAACCGGTACATCTTATACTCAATATCTTTTCTCATAACTGCTTGTAAGTGCTCTGACAGCTGAGACTCGGGTTTAAGGATGGATCCAGAAAGTTCTCTAATGAGGCTTGGAGACTTCTCTTCCTTTGAATTCAAATGTACCATATGAAAGTTGCTGCAGAGACATGGACTCGATGCTCAGTGAGCTAAATGTCACTTTTTTTTTTCCTCTCCAGGTGACACCATTCCTCATAATGTAACCTACCCGGGGAGACCAGGTCTGCCAGGCTTTGATGGGCCTCCAGGTATCACTGGGACATCGTTCTGGCCTTACACACTTTCCAGAGCAAAAGAACCAAAAAGACAGATAAACCCTCACGGCCAGGGTACTTCTGAAATTAGTGTAAGGTCTTGAGGGACAGGAAACTAGGAAACGCATTTACAGTCCTTAGCTCCTGGGCCTCACCCTCTCTGGTTTGAGCCCTTTCCATGGGCCTTTTCAGACTCTGTGTGCCTCGGTTTGACCAGTTAACATGTCTGCCCTTGAGAATTCTAAAGCTATGTTCTTTTTCCCTTCTTGTGGACTGAGAGTGGAAAATACCACCTGCCTGTGGACAAGAGGGACAAGTCCTGACTATAAAGAGCCTGAAAAATGCCCCTGTATCAACATCTCTGAATACATGTTTATGTATCAATTCCATTTGAGTCAATCCCCTGTGCTTAGCTGAAGTAAACCCCCCAAATCCGTGTTTATGCCTTTAAAGTTTATTTAAACTAACCCAGTACTCGCATGGTTAATAAGTACGGCTTTTCTTGTCCAACACAAAGATAGAAAAGGGCTGGGCAGATGGCTCAGCCAGTAAAATTTTGGCTCTGCAAGCCTAAGGAGAACCTGAGTTGAGATGGCCAGCACCTGTGCAAAGAGCTGAACGCTGCAACGAATGCGCGCAATCTCAGCACCTGGGGAGGTGGATACAAAGACAGAAAGCCAGCCCAGCTGAATCCGGAAGCCAAGATTCAGCTAGAAAACCTGAAGGAAAGGATGGGGGAGCTAGTGGGAGGGGAGTGTGAAGGATCTGGGAGGAGTTGGGAGAGGGTACAATGAGCAGCGTATATTACATGAAAAAAATTTCAACTTAAAAAAAAAAGAAGAAAATGGAGAGTGATAGAGGAAGACACCTGACATTGCCTCTGGCTTCTGTATTCATGGTTTAAAACACACACCCACACACGCATGACAAAGTAACTATGGGTCCAGCCATACCCAACTTGACTGCTGTCTTCCGGACCATTCGTTTCTGTCAGTGTTTCCAAGTAGTTTCAGCGTCTCAGTGAGGTGCAAACACACGCTTGCTCTGTTTCCTGTGAGTCTGAAGAACGATGGGGACTCAGCTGCTGTAAGACAGTGTGTGTTGGTACAACCCTGGTCGCGGGTGAGGTTCAGATCAGCAACCCTTGTTCTATTGCAGAGCCAATGTGTGCCCTTCTCATGGGACTGCGGGAATGTAAGTGGGCAGGGCCGGCCTCTCAGGATCACCTCACACCTCAGATGGCAGACGTGTGTGTCATTGGCCCAAGCAGTTTCAAATCTCTTTTATAATTATATTTACACATAGATGCATACATGTATATATGCATATACCCATATATATATATATATATACACACACACATATATCGTAATAAAAAATAAAATCCCATTGGCTCAAGCCTGTCGTGTGGCCAAGCTCCAGCTCAAAGGACAGGGTGATATATTCCATTCACCGCTGCAGCTGTGAGAGGGGGAGACAAAATTCTACATCGGAACAGTGATGAACTGCTGGTTGCCTCACTGAGCATTCATTTCCACTATACCGTCACTTTCCTGGGGATGAATGAAAAACTTCGACTGTTCGCTGGCAGTGTTAGTTTGCGGGAAGTGAATTCTCACACTACATAAGCAGTTGTACTTCCTCCGACGTTCACACTTCAGAGGTTGTGTGAGCTGAGCTAACTGTTAAGAGGAAATCATAGATTTAAGGTAAAATCGCCATCCTTTTAGCAAGTAGTCTGCCTACGCTCTGTATAATACAGGGCTCCTTCAATGCTCTCTCAGCAGGGTGAGCTCTCGCCATCACCTTGTTCTCCTAAGGAACAGGCTAGGCCTGTGGGTTTGTGTAGCAGACCTGCCATGGAAGGCACTACAATTTAGGTGAATGGTGGTGTGTGTGTGGGAAGCTTCCAGAAAGAATTCTTCACGGTACCGAGGATGAGAAAAGTCACTCTGAAACATTTACCTGGAACAGTGACTGAAGAGTGCTTCTGTAAACCACAATGGAAGACATTTTTACTTCCATAAGATTGACCTACTCCAAAAGACATTTAACACAGACATTTTAAAGTCCCTTCTTCTGTGCGATTGAATCTTTGGTTTATGTGTTCTTATTTTAGGTCTGAAGGGATTTCCAGGTCCCCCGGGTGCTCCTGGAATGAGATGTCCAGATGGGCAGAAAGGCCAGCGGGGCAAACCAGGGATGTCTGGAGTTCCAGGTCCACCTGGTAGGCGACAAGTTGTAGCTGGAGAACCCTGTGCAGCCGGGGGTCCTTCCAGGGGGATGCCTTAGCAGCTGGTTGTCACGAGTTCATTGCCTGGTTGGAACCACTCAGCCCTCAGCAGTGTCTGCCAGATGAAGAAAGTGGTCGGGGATGGGGGTGGGGGGCGGGCACAGCGGAACTCACCTGTCATCCCAGCACTCCAGATGTGGAGGCAGCAGAATCACCTTGATCTCTAGACTGTCCAGGGATATCTAACACAGGCTAGGACAGCTTATCTCAAAAACGCAAACAAATAAATGTAAAAGAAAAAAATTTTTAAAGAAGATGACAGGATGGTTCACTGAGTAAAATTTGCTTGCCACCAAACCTAATGAGCTGAGTTTCCTCCCTGTGACCCCCACAAGCTGTCCTCTAAGCTCCATGTGTATACCTGCCTGCCTCTGCAAGTAAATAAATGTGTGGAGGTAAAAGTAGCAACAACCGAAAGCAACTGGCGTCGCTAAGAGGGTGGCAACATTACCTATCAAGTCTCTAAAGCTGTAGAAACGTTACCTATTAAGCACTTCTTAAGAGGGCCTATAGTTTTCAATCAAAGTGTTATCCTTATATTATCAGACCTATATTTATACATAGAACCTTTTGTTATTGTTGCCCAATAGGTTTTCGAGGGGACATGGGAGATCCGGGCATCAAAGGTGAAAAGGGGACCTCCCCTATTGGACCCCCAGGACTACCTGGATCTCCTGGAATGACTGGCCAGAGAGGAATCCCAGGAGACCCTGCTTTTGGAGACCCAGGACCCCCTGGAGATAGGGGTCTTCCAGGAGCACCAGGCATAAAAGGGCAAAAAGGTTACCCAGGATGCCCAGGACCTGAAGGTATGAGATCTTTGCTCTCTCTTTGTTAGAGGATGCCTGCTCAGTTTTGGACCAATCCAAAAACAGTGTTTACCCTGTTGTGCTTTGGGCAGTGGGTACATGCACATTTCATGTTCGAAAACAGGAGCTGATCACATCGATGAACCTGAACCTCTGTGCTACCTGTGCGCTTAACTGCTGGTTTGCAAACGCAGGGCCACACTGGCTCAGTACACTCAGTTTTATCCGGGCGATGTGTTTGCTCCAAAAGCCACCAACAGCAAGGGCTGGCCAACCTGTCACTGTCAGAGCCAGACTGAGGCAGAGTGTGAGAACTCTAGCCACTCAGGGGCTTAGCAGGCTCCATGGTAGTTCAATAGAAATTTGAAAGGATAAACTGATAGCCCTCCCACCAAATACACATCCATGTGCCACACAATGGGTGCCTCTTACATACCTAGGTGGAAATCTGCTGCAGACGCAGAGAGTGGTAGAATTAGGGAAGACTGTGGCCCCTTGTTTGCCTAGGTAACTTCTTTGTCATCTGTAAGCTTATCAAGCAGCCCACTTAGCAAGGCATGGGTTTTCCCTTGGATCTGTATCTAAGATGAAAGTCTATCCTGAAGGTTAGCTCATGAAGCCCAGAGTCAGAACCAAATTGTTCATTTCTGGAATTGACGTGCATGAGTGATATCACAGGCCATCTATCTCTACAGTGTTGACTCATGAATGTCCCAAATGCATCTTATCATTTCAGGACCGCCTGGCATCCCCGGATCTCCAGGTCTCAAAGGTCCCAAAGGCAGAGAGGGAAATCCTGGGTTTCCGGGAATCCCAGGCGACCCTGGCCATTCCTGTGAAAGAGGTGCTCCAGGGATCCCAGGACAACCAGGACTTCCTGGAGCTCCAGGTAGTCCAGGTAAGTGCCAGCGGGTGCCGAAACAGGAAGTATCTGAGCTTCCCCTACTTATAGTCAGGAAGCTCGCCTCCTGTTTGTGCACGGATGTCGGCAGAAGCATGAGTACCAAGTCCAAGCCAAAGACCCTTATTATTCATGAGTTCCATATTGCTCTGCATTATTTTTCCACATTCTGTTGGTGAAACATGTATGGAGCGGCCCAGAGATTGCGAGCGTGGTGGGTTGCGTTGTATATGAACTTGGGAACCGCACGTCTAGCAGCCTTTGCGTCATAGCAGCCTTCAAGCAGGCCTGCTTCACATCCTGGGGAAGGTGAAGCAGGATCTGTCAAAGCCACTCACTGCAAGTACAGCCTTGGGGGACGCTCAGGTGGAGGGCGGCACACCCATGGAGACGACAATGAGTCAGAGGCTTGTATCTCCCCACACAGGAGCTCAGGGACTCCTTAAGTCCACTGCACTGACTATAACCAAATGCCTTTGATTGAGTAATTTATAAGTGACAAAAAATGATTAGTAGAGGCTAGAAAGTCAAAAAATCAAGACACCAGGGGTTTTGAAATCTGGCAAGAACCTCTCCCACATAGGAAACCCCTGCTAGTCTTCTCACACAAGCTACCACAGGCCTCTTTTACATGTTCACACTGAACCATCTTCAAAACTCTTTTCCTCTACATGCTCTCACAGTGGTGGTTAAGATTCAGCATAACAGTTTTGGGGAGACACATTTCCCATAGCAAGATCGATCTCCAGTATGCTCTCATTTCATCACCGGGGCTCTTTATTCTGCAACGTATCTGTTTCTGCTCTTATCCAAATGCAAGATGCTCAGACAAGTTGGGCATCTGAAAAACCAGACAAGTTGGGGACAGAGTTTGCTATTACAGCCTCATGGCAAACACCAGTTATTCTGGCCAGTGCTGCTCTCACTTACACAAATCTTTTATTATACTTGACAGCATGACTGAAGTTTACCGGAACAAAGGGTCAGAAAGTGCTGGGAAACTTTTTTCTTCTCCTCCTCTTCTTCCTGCCCCTCTTTCTTTCTTTCTTTCCTTCTTTCTTTCTTTCTTTCTTTCTTTCTTTCTTTCTTTCTTTCTTTCTTTCTTTCTTTCTTTCTTTCTTTCCTTTCCTTCCTTCCTTCCTTCCTTCCTTCTTTCTTTCTTTTCTTTCTTTCTTTCCTTCTTCTTCCTCTTTATCTTCCTCCTCCTCTCCTCTTTCAAGAGCACATATAAGTACGTTTTTTGTTTTTCAGCCGTCTCTATATTAAAATAGCAAACTGTGTAATCTTTACTCATTCCTACCAGGGGTAAATATTCAGATGATCTTCCCCCACTCTATAGCGTCCGGAGAAATATATTCTTAGGCAAATGAAAAGTTGCTCGTGATACTTCAGCTGATAAAAATCGTCTTGTTCTTGTTTAAAGTGCCATCGGTGCATAGTTTAAGCTCTCTGGAATGTGATTTTCCTGTGAACGTTTGAAGAAAGTTTTAAGATTTCCTGCCTCATGGTGGTTGTGCTTTGTCTAAGGGCCCCCAGGTTGGAAAGGTCATCCAGGAGATAGGGGGCCTCCCGGACCAGCTGGAATGAAAGGCCTTCCTGGCCTCCCAGGCCTACCGGGAGCAGATGGTCTTCGAGGGCCTCCTGGGATTCCAGGCCCCGCTGGGGAAGATGGCCCACTTGGTCGTCCAGGCCTAAAGGGTGAGTTGTGCTCTCCCAGTAATTCTTCCGGTTTTACAGACTCAAAATGAAAGGTCAAACAAAACTGGTTAGGCATGGCTCACACTACCAGAATATATTAATTAGCTCGCCTTTGCGCTCTGCTTTCGGACGTATTGTTTCTTCTCTGTATTATCCTTTCTAGCAGCAGAACGTTCTGATGTGGGTTAACTGACAAAAGACCTTGGGTTCACAGGGCAAGGATACCTCAGCTCACAGGACGAGGCAGCACCGATGATATCATTAGGTCAGGACTAATACATTTTCCTTTTGATGGGCCTTCTGCTCGCGTCACTTCTCTCGATGCTGTTAAAACATGATGGGCTCCGGACCCCCAAAACATCAGCGCTTAGGTCTGTTGGATGGGAAGTAGGAGCGGATGAGAGAACATGGCTATTTAAGACCACAGTCATCTTCAAAATAATGACTTACTTTCAGCATGAAGTGTTGGCAGGAATTTGTATCACTGAATGACCAGGAGTGTGAAAGAACCATGCTTTCCTTAAGGTGCTTCCCTAAAACTTAATGCCCTCATTTTATCAGGACACCCAGGACTGCCTGGCTTCCCTGGTTTTCCAGGAGAGAGAGGAAAGTCGGGCCCAGATGGACAACCTGGAAGAAAGGGACAAATCGGAGAGAAAGGCTGGCCTGGCTTGCGGGGAGACTTGGGCGAGAGAGGTGCCAAAGGCAAGTGGTTTTGACAACACAGGGGTGCTGCATGACTTTGTTCCCAATATTTGGTCAAATGCCATTAATGTGCCTCTGGACTTCTTTAGTTTTGTGATATGGTAGGAATTCATTTTCCCTGCCTTTGCATCTTACTACACGAAACTAAGGTAAATGAATCGCTCTATTGTTGGAGAAACCAACAAGTGCTCCTTAATGCATTGTTTTATAGATCTGGGGCTTCCGAGACCTTGCGTGCCTCGAGGTAGACACCTGTAAAGAATGTTTCAGGCTTTGGGGCCATATGGCCTCAGTTACAATAACACACTTTGGCCTTGGCATGTGAAAACTCCCAGCCACAACACATAGACAACACAGAAACATGATACAATTAGAAGTTGGAACAGAATTTTGGTTGTGGATGACAAAGATTTGATTTTTATATAATTCTCACAAGTAATTAATTTTCATACAATATTATTTGGGGTTTTATGCTTTCAGCCCTGCCCCCTTAACCATTTACAGCATAGATGTTTCCTTTTGCCTCTCAGTAGTAGCATTCCTCATAATGAAGGAGCATTTTTAAACCCTTAAAGCTCTCTGGGAAAATGCCCTCTAATTTCATTCAAATGACTGTTTTCAGTTGTTTGACTCTATAGTTGTTTTGGTTTGCTTGTTCTATTAGCTTATAAACTATTTACAGAGAATTAAGAAATTAAAAATTATAGGGACCAAAAATTTCTTTGCTACATAAGATAATTGATGTTTGCAGATAATTCACATTATACTAGTAAGCCCTTATTCCACTGAGAATTAAAAGCTGTATCAATGCTAGCTAGCGTTGCAGTTGTAAACTAGCTCTCTCAAAATGTTCTCTGAGGAAAACCCTACCATTGACAGTGCTTGCCGATTCCAATCGTGCAAATATGCCCACAGCACCGTAAACACCCCCACTCCTGCAGGTGTCAGACAACTAATGCTATCGCAGTCGAGTCTCAGAATTCTCTGTTAGCAATCAGCTCCCGTCGCCTTGGTCTGCTGAGCCTGTCTCGGCACACTGCTCTGTGTGGGCAGTGTTTACAAAGAAGCTGGAATATGGGATACAGGCCCTAGTTTTTGGAAGTCCGCATGCAGAGAACAAGGCTGCAATGTATGCTTGTTCTCTTAATGTAAAGAGCAGAGAGATGACAGTAAGGGAGAAAGGTACGGAACACCAGCCGTGAGCAATGGATTATTCGGACTCTGCAGGATAAGCAAACAGTCCTGTGGATTAGAATGCTCTGAATGTCCTAACCCACGGAGGATCCTGGGCAGATTTACTGAGTACACCAACGGCCCCTTGTTCCAGGGGTGGATAAGTGGTGACAGGAATCGGTTTTCAGTTCCTGATACTGATCGTGAGGGAGCCAGCAATACAGCACAGGGGAGGGAAGTGGGGTTCACTAACAAAGCGAAACACTATAGAACAGGAGTCACATGGGTAGTATGTGTGCATTTGTGTTTTTTCTCATATAAGTAACATTTACAGGAGACAGAGGACCTCCTGGTGATCCGGGAGAAATAGCCATCATTTCCAAGAAGGGGGAACCTGGGAATGCTGGGCCTCCAGGAGATGGTGGGTTCCCAGGAAGGAGAGGTAAGTGCTTGAGGTTTTTTAATCTTATCAGATAAGCTGGCGTCTATATAGATCATTCTGCAAGCCAACATACTGGGCAACTTTCCCTCCAACAAGGAGTTAGGAAAGGTAATTTCTTAAACATAATTACGCCCTGCTAAGCTTTCCGGTAACCTTTTGGCTTTTCAATACTAAACGTAGTTGGAGTTCATATGTATTTATACATTGAGTATTCTAAATGAGTTGCAGCACAAGGTATAAGTAAATCACTTGTCCCAAGCGTAAACCCCTCTGTTTGGGGAAGCTGGTATTATTCTCTGAGGCTGCCCTGGTTGTTTTGACCAGCCCTTCTCAAACATCAGTGTGTATGTAAAACATCCTGGGTTCCTGTCTAAATTGAGATCCTCACTCTACAGAACCGGGGTTCCCAAGGACCCTGTTTTTCTAACAAGCATCCCAATGACAGGCTGCTAGTCCTCAGAAACATGGCAGAGCAACGATTGTTGGCAACTGAGTTCGTATTCTCCTCAACTTTAAGGTTAAACTGCATGGGTTCTATCCTGGATTTCTCTTTAGTTAGCCATTAGGAAAAAAAAAATATTTAACTTCCCTGGACTGAATTATTCCTCATTTGTAAGGTGTGTGTGCTGGAGCCAAGGACCGTGTTTGTTCCTTCCTTCCACCAGTGGCTGCAAGTCTATTCCTGGACAGCTTCTTTAAAGTGAGGCTGCCAAAGACAGGAACCACAGAGATGTGGCTTTGAACAGAAGCCAGCGTCCCCAATTTTGTTATCTTCATCTTTTACAAATAGAACTGAGTCATTCAATACAATCTTCACTTTCAGCCAAGGGTTTTGTAACACTAATGACCTTAACAGGTGATAAAGGAAGCCCAGGGATGCAAGGGGCAAGAGGAGATCCTGGAAGAGATGGACCACCTGGACTACACAGAGGGCAGCCTGGGATGAACGGGCCTCCTGGGCCTCCTGGTGCTCCTGGCCCTCCGGGATTACCTGGACTAAGAGGAGTCATTGGTTTTCCGGGATTTCCAGGTGACCAGGTAAGGAGCTGCTTCTACCAGGGAAAAGAAAGACACTCTTTCTGCTCTCAGGATCCCACAAAGAGTCAGAACTTGCCAGTATATGCTCTTGTCACTTACTGGCTTTTTGAAACTAAGCAGTAGTATGAAGGAAGAACAGAGCGTTCTAGAAGGTTAGGGTGTAACTAAATTTCCTGACTACTGTTCAGACTGGCTGCCCTGCGGTGGATGAGCAAGTCATGTGATTCACACATTCCAGCCCAGGTTTAAATAACTCATCGAGCCTTGCCTCATGACTGATGCCTTATTGGTTGTGGTGGTGGGGAATCCTGAACACTGCCAAAGTTCTGGTTTCTAAGCCTTTCCATCTGTTTGAAGATTTATTTCATATATTTTCCGTTAACTACACTTGGCCTTTATAATCATGAGTAACATTCCCTATGAGAAACCAGAAAATATAATGTAGTAACTTGTATCACACTTCTGGAAGATGTAAAGCATAGTTGGCTTTCCATCTTTTGGAATAAAATGGATCCTTAAAAATTATGACACAGCAGAACTTTCAATATTTTATTTTATATAAATTGTTTTGTTCAAAGCATAAATTCAAATTGTGTGACACAGTTACTCTTCAGTAATTGTGAATAAAGATTTCTTTGCTTCTTGCTGGGATGGATAGCTTTGATTCTGGAGGAGTTTTGCCTGCTCGTAAAACATAGATACCATTAGTATTATGCTTACAAGACACTAACAATTTCCTTCACCGTTGCCAATTACAAACACTAAGTCAGCTATAGAAAACTGTAATGTCTTTGTGCCATTGCATGGAAAATCCAACTAGGGTCTTATTATTGTTCCACTAACTGTCAGGGTGATCCAGGTTCTCCAGGCCCCCCTGGATTCTCGGGAGATGATGGAGCAAGAGGACCTAAAGGTATGCTTTGGAAATGTTCCCACCTAGCAAACTCAGAGTTCTGTGAGTTATAACACCGCAAGTTATAAACATTGCATTTTTAAAGGATAAAATGCATCACAAACTAGAACTCAGAAGCAACTCTTAGACTCTTCTTGACAGTGAGACACTGAAGCTTCAAAGGGTTCTCGTCTCCACGCAGGTCCAAGGGTACCAGACAGGTACAGCAAACCTACAGGTGCATCATGACTTCCTCGCCATGGAAGTCTCAGAGGCTGCCCATGTAGTGACCACAGCTTCTCAAATTGTAGCTGGTACAACTGACCACACCTGGGTTCACTTGGACTCAGAAACGCTATTTTCCATAAGAACCAGCACTCATCTAAGGATGTCCTATGTGCAGCTATTGAGATTCTACTTACGAGAATCACAGAACATAAATATCCCACCAGATGTTCATTGTTTACTTAAGAATTCTCAAGCCAGATGTAACTTATAATTCAATTATTTTTATCCCTAATCAAAGATAAGAAGCTGTTTTTTTTTTTTTAACTTTTTGGGATACATTGTGTCAACCACAACTGCCCATCTATAACCCCACAAAACTCTATTTGTAGAATAGCTGCAGGCTGGCCCAATAGGCCTGAGCCTATCTTGTGCCCAAAACCTTGTTGCCTTGAAAACACAACTGAAATTGTGCTCTTCACAAGTCATGATATGTGAGAAAGAGAACTTTTATTTACCTGTTGGAGAGACAAACATGCAAATAAACTAAAGTCATGATATACTAAATATTTTCATACAACATTCAAAAGTTTAACTATCTTGGTAACCTCCACAGGCACCTAATAGTCACACGGTACACACACACACACACACACACACACAAACACACATAGGTAACACACTCATGCACAAAGAATAAATCTTTTTTAAAAATCATAAATCACATCTTTCATCTATAATTCCATTGTTCATTGTTCATTGTGAACAAAAATTTTTTAAATGTCTCCTGGAAAACATGAAGCTAGATTATGGAAGACAAATACCATGGACGTTACTTGTATGAGACCAAATGATATTTTTCTTAACTAATGCTCTCGCTATTATAACACTAACAGGAAACAAAGGCGACCCTGCCAGTCGGTATGGTCCACCTGGTCCGAAGGGTGAGCCAGGTAGCCCTGGATTCCAAGGTATGTCCCCACATTTTTTTTAGTATAATAAATAAGACTTAGTTTGAAACACAAAGTAATTACTTTTACACTCACTGGGAATGATTCTATCATATTTTCTTTACCATTTGCCCATTAAGGTATGTCTCAACATGATTCTGTGTGGCATTGTTGTAGCATCCTTCTTGGAAAACGATACCAGGGCTGGGCACTGGGAACTCTCAATGTATTGCTACAATGGACCCTGTGACCAACGACATTGGCACAGCAATATACTCCCTCATAGTTTTACAAAGGCAAAGTGACTACTCAAGCAATTAAAATTCAGATTATTTTGCCATCTCTGTCATTTAATATGGCCACAAGTTATTCTGGAAGACTCCTTTTTCCCACTGATAGCAAGCAGCAAACCAGTGAACGTGGAGAGAGCAAATTTGCACTTTGTTTTGGGCCCTGTAGAAACATACATCAATATTTAAAATATGCTTGCTGTTTGACACGGGTGTTCTTCTGCTAAGAGCATATCTGGAATGAATAATCAGGAAATTATAAAAAGATACACACACAGGAATATACACTTCATGGACAGAGCAAACCTCTGCCTACAGATGGTTGGTTAAGTCATGTATGCCCAAATGCAATCAGTCAGTAACACTAAGACGTAAATCGAGGCGAGGATTGACATAATTTCCTTGTAAATTAAGGCTCTGTATTTAGAATGTCATTGTTCTATTTTGTTTTCTGTTAGTGTGACAAACACAAAAACAACTTGGGAAGGAGAGTTTATTTCACCTTATAGTTTATAGTCCATCAATAAAAGGAAGTCAGTGAAGGAACTCAAGGCAGGAACCTGGAGGCAGGAACTGAAGCCAAGGTCATGGAGGAGTGCTGTTTACCGTCTTGCTTCCCATGCTTTGCTCAGTCTGCTTTCTTGGACAACCCAGGACCACCTGCCTACAGTGGTCTGAGTTCTCCCAGGTCCGTCATTAATCTAGAAAATGCCCCCACAGACTTGCCTACAGGCCAATCTGACGAAGACTATTTCTCAATTGAAACTCCCCCTTCCCAGATGACAACAACCTAACTAGGACATCCATGCATCACCTCGAAGTCGCGTTTGGCAGGAGTCATATTTTGTTTCCCAAGGTAGAATGTCTAATCAGAGCATCAAATGAAAGCCGCTTGTAAACTGAAAACCACACATACATTATCATGGATGACTACACTACTGTGAAGTCAACAAAAGAGTCAGAAATGTTCTTGTGCTTATGGGTGTTTTTGTCATAAACCTGATGATCTAAAAATTTCCTGGGCTCAAAGTAGCACAAACTGGGGGCATTTTATGTTTCCTACTATTTTAAGTTGAAACCCATAAGTCTGTGGTTATTTTATACTGAGTCAGGCTTTTCCAGAAATTTCGCCTTACCCTGCTTGATCTGGTGTCCTGTGGTCATCAGTGTTTAAATTGTTCTGGTTTCTTATTTGCCGTGGCTTAAGCTTGGAGTTTTAAAAAATTGTTCTGTTATTCCTCAGCACAGAGTTTAGATACTCTATTTTCCTTGGCCAGGGATTCCCACACTGCACTGGAGTGAACTCAGCGAGGATGTATAGAGAACATGGCTTGTTCCGGGGTTATGTAAGATTGTACTAAGTCAGTTATAATCCCGTCCATCCACTTCACCTCGGAGGGAAATATAGTGGAAATTACTCCTAAAACTCTGCTCTCAATACAACCATCACTTTGGGGTACAGTTTTGAATGCCTGTTTTGGCAACTGGAGCCAACAATAGTGATGCCATGTGTTCCTTGCAGGAAGGTGTAAGGGATCAATCAGATAACGCAGAACAGGGCTAGAAGAAAGTAATAGTAAGTAACAGGCACAGGCATCGGTTACTTTAGCGTTGTACTGAATACTACCCCTCCATGGACTTGGAAATACAAAGTTGCATATTTTGAAGATTCAGCCATTGATTTTTCAGTATAGACTGTTGGTTTTTCTATAAATTTGAATTAAAGTCACACATGTAAATAAGCATATGGGAAAATAGTCATCTTTCTAGTAATAAAGTAAACATAAAGTGTCCCTAGGTTCACTAGGGGAATAGAATCAACAGATTATATATTACATATGATGTAATCATATATTACATATGTAACATAATATATAATATAACAGTACACAAAAAGGATTTATTTGATTGGCTTACACAGGGGAGGCTAGGTAGTCTAACAAGCGCTGTCTGATCTCTGGGGAGCCTGGGAGCTCATTATCTGCTCAGTTCTGAAGGTATGTGCCCAGAAGTCCCACTGTGGCATTGAAGGCCCGAAGGACACTTGGCGAACCCGCGTGCTCCCCTCCTGCACACTCAGTTGATAGAGGAGGACTGCCCTTCCATCAAGGGTCTATGAGTAGCTGTGCTCCCCTGCTGGAACCGCCAGACTATTTGCAAATTATCAAAAAGCAAAGCCACAAACCCAGTGTCCTCAGTGAGAACGTGGCTCATTCACGGGATGTTGAGTGTCGTGCAGTGGGTGGGAGACACGTGGGGAGGAGGTTGATGTACTTCCATCCAGCCACAGGTGACTTGTGCCAAGAATCAAATGCTGACCGGTCTCTTCTAGAAGGCTTAGAGAGCAGCCAACCTTTCCCTAGGGAGTCAGAGACATGAGGAGACTGCTGGAGACTTTAGACATGTGTATGTTTATTTTTTATTATTTTAATTTAAGGGCTGTGCCCATTAGGCCCAATGCACAGCTCTGGTGTAGAATTCAGTGAGGTTTGCTACAAGGACAACAGGTGGAGAGGGGCTGGAGTCTGGAGTGAGCACTGGATGACCTTAGGGCTTGTTATTCATGTTCTTCGCTGCCACAATGTTATTTTGGCAACCTAGGACGATTTTTTTTTTTTTCAGGCTTACCTCTTGAAGCACTTCGAGATGGAATTCCACAACGGCTAGGTTTTACTTTAAAATATTTTAGCATTTAAAAATGTATTTTAAGGCAAACCCAAATATCACACTATTTACCAAGAGGTTCTGCTCCTGGGAAATAGGGAAAGTATTTCCTAAAGAAATAGTTCAAAAGGATAGACTAAGGATCTGTAAAGGAGAGTTGGAGGAGGAGCGAGTAAATGTGATCAGCACATGCATTAGGAAATTGTCGAAGAATAAATAAATAAATAAATAAATATCTTTATATACAAAGATCAATGTGAAAAATTACAAAAAGTATTAGAAGCACTTGATTGTCTGGCAGTAGGGAGACTTTAGACTGATTAAAGAAAGACTGATCAAGACGCTATCATTTGAAAATGGTTAAACCATCACAAACTTGGAACACTGCCTGTGATACAGTATCAGTTTTAAAAACAGAAAATTTTGTCATCAATTTTTTCCTTAATCATGTTTTCCTTGTCGACTGAAAAAAAAAGCGTAAACACAAACAAACAAACAACCCCAACAGCAACACAAACCCACAACAGAGATAGTGAGGCTTCAAGTTGGCTGTTTGAGAGCCACTGTTGCAAAGAGCAATCTACAACTAATCGAATTTTGATCCTTCATCCTTTAGGACAAACTGGAGCCCCCGGAGAGAAAGGCTTTCCTGGAGCTGAAGGGTTCCGAGGACCACCAGGCAGACCTGGACAGCCTGGCTCTTCTGGACCACCGGGGAGTCCAGGTACCTTGCAAGAAAGCCAAGAAAACCCCGAGCGTTCGTGTGACTTGGTGTGCCAGAAAGAGCTGTTCTTTGTGTAGAGCCCTTCTGCCTATCACATGCCTCAGGACCGAGCATGCACACTTACCAAACCTACCCCAACTTCACAGGCTTGCACCGCCAAATGAACATAGATGACCCTATCAGAGAATGGTATCTCCATAGCACTGTCTGAAAGACTTCTCTCCTGTCCCCAGGTGACCCAGGGATACCTGGGCTCAAGGGCCCCCCAGGAGAAGAGGGAGACCCCGGGCCAAGAGGTGACCCGGGATATTTAGGGAGGCCAGGTCCTCCCGGAGTAAAAGGTAAGTAGGGAGAATGTCCAGCCCTCCAGAAAGGGCCAGCCCACTGGGGGCAAAGTCGCAGCTCCTTTCTTGGGCTTGTGACTGGGCTCCAGTAATGCTAGCAGCTGCTTCCCCCATCCCAGGGGGAGGCTTGAGGCCATGCCTTCTGTCAAGGCTTGACTTCTTTTGGGGAAGGCCCAGGGTCTTGGTGTTTCCACCCTATTTCTTCAGAGGATATGTTGCTTGTGTCTGTATGATGCTCTCATCCACTCATTTGCCTCCGCTGACAATCAAGCTTCCTTTGTGCCCTAATTCTGTTGCATTAAGTGTCAGGTGTCATTTTAAAGAAAACATATGGGATTCCAGCCTTCATGGAGCTATTTTGTAAGAGAGATGGTTGTGGTCTCTAACACTGTCTGCTTGCTTAATGCCTTACATGTGAATTATTGTCTTCACAAATGAACCTTTGGGAAACATGATCTGTGTCTAAACCACTGCATAAGAGGTGGCAAGCATTTGAGCCCTGAGAATCGGTAAGATCTCCAGGACCCCCATAAAATGAAATTTCAGAATTAAAGGCATGCTTGTCTGTGTTAAGATATTATAAATAAACTTAAAATAAATAAATAAATAAATAAATAAATAAATAAATAAATATATGTAAAAATAAAACATCTTTAAAATCAGCCTTGAACCTGTGGGTGGGTAAATTACTTGTTGGACAGAGCAGAGCCACAGAGAGGTTAAGGAGAGTTCCAGAGGCTCTGGAATCACTCATCTAAATCTGATGAGGGCATCCAGTCACACGAGGGAAGGAGTCTAGCACTCAGGTTTCCAGATATAGTTTAACTAGCAGAAACGGCTTGGTAGCCACTCAGGTTTTAAGTACTAGCTACAATTAAAAAGCTACAAGAATTGCACAAATGCCCACTTCTTGAGTGGCAAGGTAACATAAGCACTGTCTGCCATGTTTGTAGAGTATATAGGCCATGCTCTGTTTGTGTGTATATGATGTCAGAAGCACAGTTTTTAACCTTGTTAGTCCGCAATATGGAATAGAAGCACATCAGCAACAACAAAAATTAATGGAAAGTATTTTCAGCATTGTGGACACTGATGAAGAGAAAGTTCAGAACTAGGAGAGTGGTGCACCATAGCTGGCCACAGCAGAAAGCAACAGGCATTAAAGGATTTGTATCCATTAATCCATATGGACCGGCTATGGCAGGGTGGTAAGACATGGGGGCTTTTGAGAGAAAGCGTACCCTTTTAAATTGTGTTCACTTTCTTGTGTAGATATAGAAATATGTGTCCTAGCTGTAGTTTTTGTCTTATAGAGGCACTAGTGGTCTGATTACTTGTCTGGCTATAATACAACAAAGTATGCCACAGAATGCCCACTCTTAACAATTATTCTTGTCCTCGCATTCTTCTGCCTTCCCCTCTTTGGACCATTTTGCCTTTTCTTGTGTACCCTGGACACACGTCTAGCAGACCTTCAGAGGACTTTCTTACCAACAGAGCATGATTCTTCTTTTTTTTTTTTTTTTGAAAACCAAAACCTTTTTATAATGTCCTTGGTGCCAGCTGATGCACAGTAAGTATTTTGGTTGGTGAATAAGTAGTTATGAAGTTGGGGGTGAAACAGCGGATGAGGGGCCAGGCTTTTCTTTGCCCTCCCGGACAAGTTAGCTCCTTCTATTTCCTCTTTTTTTTTTTTTTTTTTTTTTTGGTGTTCTTTTAGTCCCAGTTGACTCCAGGACATTGGCTTCTATACATATAATGTTAGTAAAACCAAAGTACTTCTTGGAAGAGTTAAAACCCACTTCTGGAATTAAACGTGTTTGTGTTTTTTTTTTTTTTCAAAGTCCAAATTCTATTCTTTTCATCTTTTGTGCTCCTCACTCCCCAGCTTTCCAAGATTCCTAGCTTTTCAACAAGCGGTGGGGTGATGTCTAATTCTTAGTGTAGTGCTGCAGAGAAGGTGTGTCTTCCTTTGGAAGTTTGCAGCACACCCAGGCATGTACTGGCAAACAAATAACCTGATGGGAGTTCTTGTCCAAATAAGTGACCTCTTGATACTTTCTCCATCTTCACTGATGCTTGTGGTAATGCGAAAACCAGACTCGTGATGAATTGAAAGTTTCACACAAAATGATGAGACTGTTGTTCTGAGGTTTTTCTCTGGTGGCTGTGGACATTTCCTGCCTTTGGCAACCCCTGCAGCCCTCCTGGGCTCCTCTTTGACTTCAACATTCTTCCAGTCTGGAAGGACTTGGTAGGGGTCCAAAAGGAAACATTTCACATTGTTACGGGCTCTCTTTCCACAGCCTTCCAACTCCACACAACAGGAAACATTTCCCAGGGTCTGCAGGTGGCTGTAATATATTCTTCCTTCCCTTTGGAACATTTATCAAATAGCTTCCTATGACATTGCTTAAAAAAAAAAAAAACTTCATAGACGTGAACTCAATCCACAACAAAATCACTATAAAAGCAATTGCTAATTGCCTCCTAATGTTGGGCGCTGAAATACTTGAGTGTCTAGGGAGGTATTGGAAGGTATTTCACTCTCTGCGCGCACCCCTGCTGCAGTGCCATTTGGCTACCACTGGGGGACGCTGTTTCACTGCACACGGCACAACAAGTGATCCAGCCAAACAGATCAAAACAAAACAGTGGGATACATTGTTAAAACTCAAAACATCACAGGATACATCCATTGTTTCAGTTTATCATGCAGATATAAAAACGAAGCCGGATCCAGCAGAAACCCTTTGAACCTAGAAACTAAATATTTGAAGTATGTTTTGAGTAAGGTAGGGAGACCAACTCTTGTTTGAACAAACCAGCTGCTGAACTCAGATGTGTTTGCTCATACAGACTGTATGGATTTTTGAATGCTGCTTGGGTCCAGCCAGAATTAAACTTTAACTTACACACAGGCTACAAGGGCCTTGGTTGCTTGCTTTTTGCCTCTAAGAACATGTACTCACCAAAAAGTTGTACATCCACACAAGATGTGGAGGATGGAAACCTCCTGAGGGTTACCTGTTGGGTGACTGTACTATACGTGGATTGGGTATCTGGGCTAGTGGCTGTTAAAATGGTTCACATTTGTGTTTGTAGAGGGGAATGTGTGCATACTTGTCCATATGTGCACACTTGTGCCTCTGGGCATGTGTGGAGGCCTGAGGTCAATGCCTTCCTGAATTGAATTCCACCTTTTTTTTTTTAGGCAGGGTCTTTTACTCTCAATTGAAGTTCTTCCCAGATGACCTAGTTTGTATCAAGTTGACAACAAAGCAAAACAAACAAACAACAATATAAACTAATGGGACACATACAGAACCTGGAGCCCCCTGGTTGGGCTAGAGTAGTTGGCCAGTGAGCTACAGGGATCTGCCTGTCTCAGTTCCCACACTGCTGGGGTCACAGATATCTGTTAGATCCTTTTCTCTCTCTCTAATGTGAGTGCTGGAGATCAAAACTCAGGCTTTCATGCTTGTATGGCATGTACTTCACTAATGGAAACATCTTCCCAGCCCGGCTAGTTTGAAATGTCTTTTATGAGGAAGAAAATGCCTTCCATCATAGAGCCATGACAAACAGGGCCCCCCATTTCACCCCTACCCCCTTTTCTGTAACTGCATTATTCTCCTGTCTCCCACCCCAGCACTTATCAACCTAGATGTCATTGCTTCTTTGTCCTGTCAGGTCAGGGATTATGTCTTTCTTGCTTCCCATTGTCTCTTCAGTACTTGTCATGAGATACACTCTTGGGAGATGGAGCTGTGTGCATTAGAAAGCCATCTTTATCCTTTCAGTGGGTACTCATACATTTGCTAGCTTAAATCTCGCTTTGGAATCTTTTCCTGAGAAGAGTTCTCAAGGGTTTTCAACCTTTGTTTATAGTTGTGAAGATTTCTCTTCCCCATCAACATCAACGTCAGGGTGGCCAGCTGCCTCCTTTTGCTTGAGACTGTCATAGGATGTGGAATTTCCAGTGGTAAACATTCCAGTCAAACAGTGGCACATTGGCCACCCTATTAACACGTAAACCTTACCAGTGTCCTGGGAGTATAGAGTAGCATTTTTTTTTCTGACTTCAGAACAAAAATATAACCTGTCAGCAAGAGTGGGATGTCTAGCACGGAGGAGGGCACAGTGTGCTGGGGCAGAGGTTAGACTCACTGACTGAAGGAAGAGCAAGCAGGCTGGTCCCTGAGTGCAGCCGGGTGCAGCCTTGAATGGTGGTTGTTAAACAGAAGGACGACCAGAGAGGTGAATAAAAATTCCTCATTACCCAGGAATGTGCTTTGTTAGCCTAATTGCCCTTCATCTGCTCTGTATATATTTTATGCATGAACAACTTTCTGATTTAGAGATGGGACTGATAAAAGCTTTTAGTAAAAGGGGAAAATTATGCTTAAAACCCTGCCCAGATGTAGCTGCATTCAATTTAGAGAGATAACATTGGGTCATACAAGGGTCGGCCAGTTCAACAATGGCAAGGGGCTGGGCTGTGGCAGCCCAGGATGTGTTGATGTGACAATGGAGAGCTGGCAGAGGCTAGGGCAGACCTCCTTTAGCCAAGTCCCCAAGCCATCAATCTTGGTGGCTAACACTCGAGATCAAAAGACATAGAAATAGCAAAATGGTCTCAAAAATTTATTATCATTTTAGATAGATTGCAATAAATATCCAGATATTGGCAGATGAGGAAGGTCGTTGTGTTCTTTTGGTGCAAACTTGAAATACTGGCTCATAAAATAGGAAAGAGGATTGGAAAATAAACTAAGCCAGGACTGTGAAAAGTGGTTAGAAAATAAGAGATTAAGGGAAGATAAGGACACATGCCCTTCCCCCCCCTTCAGTACAAAAAAATATGGCTCATTTGAATCAATCTAAATTTGAGATCCTAAAAGGAGAACAACAGTTGTCTATTTCAAGGGCTGATGATAAATAGGATGGAGCCAATAACTCTGCCATTCTCCAATAATGATTCTCAGAACAAAGGATAATTAGCCCTCAGCTTGTTTACCCATAGGTGGTAGATGACTCAGACTTCTCTGAATTATAGTTGTTGTACAAATGGATTAGAGAAAAATGTGGACTTTGAGCAGAAACTGCAGTGTATTCTTTCACTTTCTCCCCAACTCTTCAACCCTCTCTCTCCTTTCTTCACATTTTGTAATTCACTCATTGAGTCAACAAGTATGTTCAATACTCATGAGGTATAGGGAATATGTTCAGTGTGGGGATAGAAAGACTGGCTAGTCTTAGCCTGGTTTTGGGCTCTGATTCACCCTTGATTCAGGGAGGCAGAGGCCCAAAGACATGATTGTTTTATGGCCTGATTCATCCAGGAGCCCTAGTCAGGCTCCCGTTGGGTACTTCAGGGACCACTCTCCATGTGTTTGATCACATAAGATGATCGTGTTGTTGTCACAAACAGATTGAATGCCAGTCTGAGTGAGTAGTGAGCTGTGTGGAGGAGAGCTTACCTCTGGGTGAAAAAGAACAAGCCCTGGATAGAAAGTCCCGTGATGAACTCGGAAAGTCATTGGGTTTGGCCAAAGGCTGAGAAACACGTGCATCCTAGAATCACACAGTGGGACAAGAAGACACAGTGGGACCCCATGTGCCTGGGCTCTGTACCCAAGAGGGACCCAAGAGCGTGTACCCAAACGCTCACTTGAAAAAGTTAAGCACAATCCATCATCTTCTGATGGAAAACCTCAAGGAGCAATTCCCACTGGAGGCATTTGATGGCAGCGTAAGTAAAGCCAGGCTGGGGGCTTCCTGTTTAGAGCACTCTAGAGCCTTTTGGTTAGTCCGCTCCCATGTGTACCAACATCGGCGGAAGCGTAAGGTCTGGCTTCAGAGGCCGGGTTTGACTTTAGAGGTCACCGCAAAGTCTGTTCATTTTACTGTCAGAAGGTAGCGGGACTCTTCTGAAAGAACTAGCTACAAATTAATAGCTACCGCTGAGCTTGACCCACAGGTCTGTTTTCCAGAGTGGAACAGTGCTTAGTGCAAAACAAGGGGAACAGGTAGTCCCAACACACCGCAGCAGGAATAGTCCTGTTGTTTCGCTTTGTTACCATGGCTACATCTGGAAGGCATTAGGACCAGCACACCCTGCTGGAAAGGGGAAACTCAAACTGGGAAGCAGCAGGCTTGGATTTCCGGTCCTCCAATCTCCATCTCTGTCTACAAAGATTTAGCATCACCAAAATCAAAGGTCACTTCCTGCGCCCAAATGTGGCAATTCTAGACAATCTCCCATCATGAGATAGTTACAGATCAAGCCAAAGAAATATATTTGTTACATCATCTTGTCAGAAAATCTTCACCAAATGAATGTGCTGAAAAACTCTCAGGCTGGATTCCTAACCCCTATGATGACCTCCAGACAGTGATATCTGTCAACTTTCCTTCCTTTGACTCACTCTCCCCTGGCATAGGCATGCAACTGTAGCCAGACTAGGAATGGACAGCTGGTCTAACCTTTGGGACACAGAGTCTGTGTTGTGTTTCAGGGCCCCCCGGGTCTCCTGGCCTGAATGGGTTACACGGTCTGAAAGGTGAGAAAGGAGCAAAAGGTGCCTCAGGTAAGACGGATCAAACTTTGATCAGTGGACCCAGAGATGAAATTGAACCTTTCCCCAGTATTTTTCATGTCACAAGAATTGGGGGGTGAATCCAAAAGAATAACATAGGATATAGACAGTGTTGGAACTATTTCCAGTTCTGTGGATGGCTTATATAAAAGGGATATTTAAGAAAACTTGATGCAGAGGAGTGGCAGTTAATACTACTTTTCTTTTTATTGCTTAGGTCTGTCTGAGTCCTTGCTAAAATGGGACCGGATTGCAAGATGTTACGGAAAACAAATAGTTTTGTTATTTTTTAAAATGTATATCGCCTTGTTTTAAGTATGCCAATGGCTAGCACACCCAAGATCATTTAATTAGTAGTGCTGGCATTCTTTTACTGTGCCTGTCGAGAAAAATTACTTGAATAACTTCCTATTAGTTTTTTTTTTAAGTTTTATTTTTAACCCTTTCAGTGTCTATGTGGGGATATGTGCATGTGAGCACGGGTGCTGGGAAAGGCCAGAGGTGTTGGCTCTCTTTGGAGCTGGCGTGATAGGCAGTTATTTATGAGTTTTAGTACGTGGGTGCTACGGATCAAACCTGGGTCTTCTGGAAGAGTGGCAAGTGCTCTTCACCGCGGCACCCAACCTGCTGTTATTCTTGATATCACAGGCAGGTTAATCTTCAAACACCGCGTTTTAGCCTGTTCCATTTAAAAATCTCTATTGTATTATTCTCTCATTACAAAAGACCTGCAATCAGACATGGTAGTTGAACCCAACTTGTGAATTTGAATAATGGTTAGAAAAGAGATTTTACAGCTAAGTGTTACTCTGTAGTTGGGGAGAGCTGGAACCTTTATGAATTTTATGGATTTTTTGTTGTTGTTGTTGTTGTTGTTGTTCTTAGTAAAAAAAAAAAAAAAAGTAAATTAGAGTAACTTAGGTCACTTAAAATTTGTTTGGTAGCTCTTTCAATTGATCTGGTTAAGTATGTAAGTGACTCTTAGAGGAAACCAAAGATAGCCTCTCCCTTATCAATGGGAAGCTCTACCATACAGTAGTTCATATGGCAGACCAGTCTCCACTCAGATTTCTAGGCAGTTTGTTGACAGTTATACTGTCATAGCCTTTATTTTTGCCTTTTGAAACAGTCCCTAAAATAATGGTTCTTAAAATCCGGGACATAATTTCTCCCCTCTCCCCCAAAAAAACAAACCTGTGGTTGGTCATTGCAATGAGTCATAAGAAAGAAATGGAGACTTAACGGATTGAACATCATTGAAGCAGGAGTTTGGTCTCTGCAGAACCATTCACTTTCTCTGCCACACTCTTGCTGGGTTCTTTTTAGGCGCTGTGTCAGGTACAAACAAGGAGAAGACTGCAATACTGATGCTGTTTTTCTCATTAAGGTTTGTTTGAAATGGGTCCACGTGGGCCAATGGGAATGCCTGGGCTAAAAGGAGAGAGAGGTGACCCTGGGAGCCCAGGGATTTCTCCCCCGGGCTTTCCTGGAGAAAAGGGCTTCCCAGGACCTCCAGGTAAGAAGCAGCATACTTTGATATTTCCTCAAGAGCTAATTTGATACGTTTTAGATATGATGAGGCTAACACAGGAACCTGTGCTTCCACAGGGAGACCAGGACCACCTGGCCCCGCAGGGGCCCCAGGAAGAGCTGCTAAGGGTGGCATTCCTTATCCAGGTCCACCTGGAGACTTGGGACTTCCTGGCCCTGATGGCCCAAGAGGTATGATGGCATCATGGCTGAGGATGGCCAAGAAAGTAGTCTCTTCCTTAGAAGCTACAAGCTAGATATGTCTGTAGCGTCTCACAGAGAAGTGCCAAAGCTGCTCTAACAACTTAGAAGCTGGATGAGTAAGATGCACCCAGACAGGCAGTATAGTTAGCAGTATTTCCTAGGACCAGAAACAGAAAACAGCTCTCCCATTCTTCTTTATCAACTTCATCAGGCTCCTGCTGTCCAGGTACAGAGGTGGAACAAGCATTTCTGATCACTAGATTGAAACTGCCTGTCCTAAGAGCTCACTAGGAAAGAGTTGTGTCCTCCTTGTTTTTTAGCACCCGTCAACTGGCCCAGAGGGACAGGACCCATGCCTGTCATGTACCTAGAAAGTCTGCACATAGGCTGTCAGTAGCACCTGCTGCCTCTCACTGCTTCACAAGGATGGCCTCTGGCAGGGCAAGATTCTGGAAGTTATTAATAGCTAAAAGAAGTGGTGGTGGACTAGGTTGGTCGAAGAGTCAGGTGAAGAGCATGGTTTAGTGATGGATTCTTCCTTATGGATAGCCACATACAGACTGGCTCATAAACCTCATAAGGAGACACAGACCTGCCTTCTTAGATGTTTTTTAGAAATTTAGTAAGGGTGGGATTGTATAGAGAAAATGAAAGCAATAAAAAAAAACTGTGCCAGGAAGCACAGAAATTAAGTGGAAGTAGAGTCGGGGTCAGCTCACTCCTATATATAGATATTTCTTTCAACATAAAATTATAATTTTGAGGGAACATTCATTTCTCATCAACTATATTTTCTTAAAACTTCATCCACCCATCTACTTATCTACCCACCCATTCATCCATCAAAGCTTCAACCCACATACCCGTCCATTCATTCAACCATGCATTTATCCACCCACCTATTCATCTATCTATCCATTCACCACTCACTCATCCACCCAGGCACACACTCATCCATCCACCCACCCATTCATCCACCCATCCATTCATCCATTCATACACCCACCCACTTAGCTATCCACTCATTCATCCATCCACTCATCTATCAATCCAACCATCCATCCATCCATCCATCCATCCATCCATCCATCCATCCATCCATCTATTTACTCACTCACCCAGCCATACATTCATCCATCCACACACTCACCTGGCTAACCATCCAATTAACCACCCAATCACATGCTCTTCCTCACCCCCCACTCATCCATCCATCCATCCATCCATCCATCCATCCACCCACCCACCCATCCATCCATCTTGTTAAAATAATGAAATGGTTGAAGATACAAACCATTAGCTAGTATTTTCCAAATGGTTCCGAAGGGAAAGGGGTCTAGTATAAGTCTTTTTAGTTTAATAGTTACTAACCTAACTTTTCTGACCTTGGACCCTGTAGCCCACAGTTTGTATTTCACTTCTGATACTGTTGATTTCTTTGTGCTTCTGATTCTCTACATACGCTGTTTGCAAATCATGATATTTCTTTCCTTGAGAAACCCTAAAACCACCAGTATTCACTTTTGTCTTTGACTGAAAGAATGTTTTTGCCTCCTCCCTGCATCAGGAGTACCTGGGCCTCCAGGTCCCCCTGGGAATGTTGACCTTCTGAAAGGGGATCCAGGTGACTGTGGTTTGCCAGGACCACCTGGCTCCCCGGGCCCACCAGGCCCTCCAGGCTGTCAGGGTGCCCCAGGATGTGACGGAAAAGATGGACAGAAAGGTATGAATGCTGGTATTCTTTCTGTCATGTGTGTAGATTTTTTTTCCTTATCTTATTTTAAGAATCTGGGATAAAGTGATGCCATTCCTATTTCTTGTGGAAACAATGAGGCCATTTCTAAAATGTCCTGGCTTCCTCTAAAAAGTCCTCGAGTTTGAATAAAAATCAAAAGAAAGACACTGGAAAGGCTGGGGTTGGTAGAATGCCCTCGGTTTTGATGCCCAGCGTCTCATAGACTGGATGGTGTGTTCTCTCGTTATTTCAGCACTTGCGAGGTAGAAGCAGGAAGATCTGGAGTTTGTAATATTTTTCTGCTATATTGTGAGTTTGAGGCGAGCCTAGGGTACATGAGACCTGTCTTATAAGTAACTATATAAGTAACTATGCTAGGAAAGGAAAAGTATGTACCCTCTGGACCAGAACCAAGCAAGAGAAATATAGGGACCCTTGTATGTATGATTTAAAAACGAAGAAGCCACATTTAAGAAGTGAAACTAGGCAGGCATGGTAGCTCATGTATATAATCCCAACATATGGAAGGCTGATACATAAGAATTTCTGTGTCCAAGACAAGCTTGGGCTGGCTGAATAGTACATTTCAGGACAGCTTGAGCTATAGACTAGGACCAGGTCTCAAAATGCCCATCTTCCCATTAGATATTTTTTTGAAAGAAACAAGCAGAATTAACTCTTGTACTTTATCCAATAAAATGTGTTACAATATTATTGTTTTAAATATATAATCAGCCTAAAATTACCACGAAGATATTGCTGTGCCTCCCTCGAGTACTCCCCTCCCCCTGCCAGCCACTGAAACTCAGTGGGTATCACTCTTATTCCAGCCCAGACCAGTATGGACTGATCACATTTCATGTGCTCACTAGACATACTTAGCTTGGAAAGTAGCTTCCTGGAGCATTCCTGGAACATTTTTGTTGAAAAGAGACTAACGGGTATTTGTTCTCAACTTCCTTATTTTATAAGAAAGAGGTCTGGGTTCCAAAATCCCACCTCTGACATTTCCAGAAAAAGACCCAGTAATTAGCACCTTACGCCTGAGTTCTGAATTGAGTATGAAACACAGCAAAAGATTAAGGCAGAGGGGAAACCAAAATTATCCCAAGGCTGTGACAGCCACGGTACAAAGGCTATCTGTGGGGTTGTGTAGCGCACATCTATGCAACAGCATGCAGCAACCTCTTTATCAGCTATGAAATATTTTATAAAATCTATAAAGCCCACGGTGATGCTGTAACTTACATGTACAGAATCAGACGGAAGTGCCACCAGACATGCCATGAAGCTGACGTGTCTGCAGCATGCATCTTCAGCTGGACATCAGCTTTAGAGCTAGGGATATAGCATGCCAACTTAGTCACAGTGACCTAGCTAAGGGCAGGGACATTAGAAATAGTGGTATGTGAGGCTGATGGTTCAGTGCCTGCAAAAGCGCTTGCTGTACAAGCATGATGAACTCAGCTGAATCCCTGGAAATAGAGAAGTGACTTCACCAAAGTGTTCTATGACCTCTATACCTGCCCCATCTCTCTCTCTCTCTAACACACACATAATTGTAATATGTTTTTAAATTAAATATTAGTGAAAGCGCTATCTGTGCTTCCTGCCTCACTCCCATTCTAGGAAGCACACCAGCCAGTTCATGCTTTTCTGTCACAAGGATAGGGAGTCCTATAATCTACAGCTATGTACTGGACATCTACTGCAGGCTAGAGGGTACTCAAATTTGAATAGCATCTACATGGACCAACAAGGAGAGGATGCTATGGGTGGGCCTGACTCTAAGATGTAGAAGAAGATGGTGGTGGGACCTCCAGCCATGCAAACAACTTACTTCAGGCACCTCTCCTTCCTTTCCACACAGTTACAATGCTTTGATGTCCTCAGCGAATATTCAGAATACAGGGCTTTGCATATTTTTGTATACTTTCAGCTTGATATGCCTTCTCATTGGCCCCTGGGGCTTTTTTGTAGAGGCAGTTCTCAGGTTTCCAGGCAAAGCTCCTCCCTCCCATTGGCTCCGTCCTGCTCTCTTTTGGAGCAGAACTTAAAACTATTCTACTCAACCAGTTCTAGACAATGTGATGCCACTTTCAATGCCTTCATCCTTATCTTTCCTTTAGGACCAATGGGATTCCCAGGGCCTCCAGGGCCACCTGGTCTTCCTGGAGAACCTGGAGAAAAGGGATTACCTGGCCCTAAAGGCAGAAAAGGGCCAACAGGCCCTCCAGGTAAGCTCCTGGTGACCATGTCCATATATATCCATCCATGTCCACCCATAAGCCATGTCTATACAGCCTCCCTCTAAGCAGTTACTATGAGGATCACTGTTTAGAAGCCATTGTGGCATACTTATGAGTTAAGCACTTCTGACCTAAGGAGTGTTTTGTTTCAGACTGCCTCATCAAATCTCACATCTGATAAACTATCCATACAAACATGCTGAAGAATTAAGAGCTGGCCTCACATCCTCACATATATTATTTATATAAATATCTGTTTGTTTTTCACCCATGAGACAGAGGAGGATTTGACTACTGTTAAGATTGTTGGCTTACTTATTGTCCTCAAATTTCCATAGATGTCTTGTCTATTTTCTGAAAAGCACATTTGTTCCTGTTGGATGAGAGACTATTTGATGTAATTATGTAGTTAATATATTTTTTTAACCATAAGGATGAATTGGGAAGAGAAAGGGCAAACAGACATATGTGTGTAAGGTTACAGGAAATAATGTCTTTAAAGATCCCCAAACAGTATCATAGATACGTAGTGATAATTCACATTGTTTTGCAATGTTTATGGCACTGTAATCTAAGGTACAAATATTGCACATTACTTCATCGAGGGTCATGGTTCAACAAGACAGAAGGTTGATACTTGGATTCTTCTTGCTTTCTTTCTGTGCATATAACCTATAAAACATGACAAATTAATGCAGAATTTTCAGAAGCCTGCAAGAGTCACAATTCCTATACACACTCATTCGGGACAATTCACCATAGAAAATCGACTAGAATTGTCCATTTCCCGAGAGAACTTCATTTCAAGTCCTTGTGAAGATGAAAACTCCATTAGTACAGAATCGTAGCTGCTCCCATCGATCACAGCGACACAAACTCTTTTTGTAAATATAGCGTTGTCACTCTGCTTGTCAGTGATGCTCCCTCAAAGCATTATTTACGTTCTCAGCCACCGGTTTCACTTTTGTCCTCACTCACAAATTTAAATTTTCTTTCCACCACGTGAAAAATGTCGCCTGGTTTTGCATTTCGGCAACGGATCTCCTCAGGCTGCAGAGGTAAGAGTTACTGCGGAATGGATAATTTCCCTTGACTCTGTTTGCTGGCCATTTCTGCATTTGCCCTGCCCACTGTGTTTGTGAGTTAAAACTGCTGCTTTTTTTTTTTTTTTGTAAGTGGAGTTTCTGGAGTCATAAAAGGTTTTAATGCGTTGGCTTCTTCATTGCAGTGATAGAAACCTCATATTAGCATCCTGGTGATGACCCTCATTACAGGTTTTCAAAGTGAGATAGGCGTTCCGCTCACAGAAGTTCAGGTCAGGCTGTATGTGTAAGTGCCCTCACTGTGGGATGCCACAGGGCATGATAGTGTAGCTCATTTTATGATTCCGACAATCTGAACATATATAACATATCCACAGTGAGTAGCACCAACATTACTAAAAGATGGAACTTGTACCTTGTGAGAGGCATATGTCCATTTTCAAGAACAAATTTATTTGTATGCTAAAAATATAATGTTCACATAATACTCTGTCATGCCAAAGGAATGTGTGATTTTGTATCTGGCATTAAAAAAAAAGAATTTAAAAAAATGTTCCCAAAAGAGGAAAAAACAGACATGTGTGTTGGTTCACACATGTAATCCCAGCATTGGGAAGCTAAGGCAAGAGCATTTGCCATGTCTTCTAGGCTAGCCTGGGCTGTAGACTGAGATCTTTTCTCAAAAATCCACCAAAAAGGGGCGGCAGAGAGAGCTCAGGAGCTAAGAGCACAGGCTGCTGTTCTAGAAGACTAGGGTTCGAATCCCAGCACCCACAGAGCATCTCACAATCTTCTGTAACTCCATTTCCAGGGGATATGATGCCCTTTCTGGCCTCCACAGGCACCAGACATGCATACAATTCACATACATACATGCAACCAAGCACCCATACACATAAAATTAAAAGAAAATCATAAACCCACCCCAGAAAACAAAAAAGAGAAAAAACAAGGAAATTGTGAAGATGTGCATTTTTTTTTCTTTCGAGGTATTTGTTATTGCTCTACAGAAAATTACCCTCATACATTATCTCTAGGGATTTTATAAGAGCCCGTTTATCCCTTTTTCTCTCAGCTTCTACGTTATTAAAAGGTAAAGGAAAACACAACAAAAATATTAAAAAATCATATTATTTTAAATACTCATAATTTAAAACTAAAGTTGGATGTTGAATGGGTTTTTGTGTCTGCCTTCTGTGTGTGATAAGCTGGAATTCATTTAAAGATAATATCACAATCCTCACATAGAGTCCAGCTAGAACAGGAGAGGAGTCTCACCTCTATAAGATGAGCACTTGGTAGACCGAGGCAGGAAGGTTGTTTGATGGAAATTATCATGGGCTCTACAGTTTAGTGAGATGCTACCTTAAAGAATAACAAAACAAACAAACAAACCAGCCGAGCTCTCTCAACTTGCCCTCTTCTTGGAAAGGTCCAGCTTATCCTGGGAAAACAGGAGACATTCCTGTGCATTTCTCAGTAGCCTTGGGGCAAAGTCAAGTTTTATACTCAGCTGGATAGATTGTGAAAAGTGCACTGGGTGTGTGTTGCTTATAGTTTCTTGGCATGTTTTATGAAAGGCTAAATTCCAAGCAGCTTGCAGACCTCAGGTCCATTCTGTAAAGGCAGAGGAAGTACTATGTGTGTTGAGTCAACGCTCTGTAGTGAAGGCCACAGCTTCACAGATTTTCTTGCTCCTTCATTATTGGTATCTCACATTATTATATGCATTTGCTTGAACCTTGAGAAAACTGTAACTAAAAAAAAATGGTGTGTTCCTAAGCATTTATTTTCTTAGACGTTATCATACATAGTATGAATCCTTTGGCTGTGGCTGTAGCTCAATGGTAGAGTATATGAGTATCCATGGGGTCCCACATCACAGGGGCAGGCATGCATGCACACAGTCACACACATGCAGACACACAGGGGTGGGGTGACAGAGAGAGCAAGATGGAGAAATATAGAGACAGAGGGAGACACAGAGGCAGGACAACTTGATGATATGCTGGTAAGGAAGGTATGTTTGGAATCAGAGCCTCCTGGATTGTCATGTGGACCCTGCAGTGTTTGGAGTGTGTAACTATAAATACACAACTTATCCCTGGGGGTTTCTTACCTGCGATAGTCTGGAAACACAGAGCATGGCATGGTTGTCTGGAGTGTGGAGTGATAAAGCGCTTCGCACAGTTCCTGGTATACACACGACCTTCGATATCTCTCCGCTGCTCTCTGAACTGCTCAGTGGTATTTTGGGCTTCTGTGGATGCTTCAGAGTGAGGGACTGAAGCTTTGGGAGACAGAGCATCTTGCAAGTATTAAATATAAGCAGTATTTTAAGAGCTGTCAGACCCCCAGTGCACTGGTCCTCACGGTCAGATTGCCTGGTCAACACTGATCATCTTGCTTGAGAACACTGTAGAAGTGCACGTTAGATCCCGCTTCAGACCTCTCGACTCAGAAATTGCTTTCAAGCCAACTGGCTGACAGTTCTAAAAGTCAGGACCCAGCTCTGCGGGGGTGCTTCTCAGCTCTGGCTGACTCTAGAATCCCCTGAAGAATTAAAATCATACCAAGCCTCGGGTTCCACCTTACAACACCCCAGGGATCCCATGCACAAAACCCTTGAAAATCATTTGTAGCCGGATTTATCAAGCCCAAAGTTGAGGACACAGCTGAGACTCCCAAGTGCTGCAGTCCTCCTTTGGGTCGGGGGCGCAGCTAACAGGTTATCTTTGTGGTTCGTGTAGATGACCCCAACATTCACTCAAGATTAGAAAGTCGCTGTAGGACGGCCTTTGGTCATCCTGAACTATGTCGGGGTAACTGATACTGGGCAAAGCCACCTGGCTCCAGCATCCTGATTTAGGAACATACCAAACTGAGCTTGAGGGACCCCAAGTTCCTCTTTTCAGTGACACCTATGACTAGCTTACTAGTGAAAAACGGCACAAAGGTTGGAAATCCCTTGAAAGTCATCAAAGTATTGTTCCATCGGCCAAGAGGCAGTAATCGCCATTTCTGCTTTCACTGTCAGCCCATCTCTCATCCCTATCAGTTGGTCTCTTAATCCATAAAGTCTTAGTTGAAGATTTGGGTGCATCCCTGCAGGGAGCAAGGCCAGTTCCTACCATTGTGGAGATCACACTGGACTGTTGAAGACTCTTGTTAAGATTTTAGCACTGTGTCAGGAATCCATCATGTAGCAGAGGCTGCAGAAAGAGCTGTGAACCCATTATACACCATTGATTCTAACCACAGGTGAACCTGGGCCACCTTCAGATATGGACCCTTGTCCTCGAATCCCGGGACTTCCTGGAGTGCCAGGCCTGAGAGGACCAGAAGGAGCTATGGGGGACCCTGGACAGAGAGGACCCCCTGGACCAGGTATGGGCTTCTCTGAGTTCATTGTCAAAATGAGAATCTAGGTGTTTTATAATGTTGCTCTTCAAGAGGAATCTAAATAACTAGAGAGCAATTCTGTGAAAACTCCCTTCCTTCCCTCTTTCTTTTCTTTTCTTTTCTTTCTTTCTTTCTTTCTTTCTCTTTTAATGCCTATTTTATTTTATTATGTATAAAGAGCTTAGGACCTCTGGTCATCATTAGCACACACTCGATGCCTTCCCCTTCCTTCCTTCCTTCCTTCCTTCCTTCCTTCCTTCCTTCCTTCCTTTCTTTCTTTCTTTCTTTCTTTCTTTCTTTCTTTCTTTCTTTCTTTCTTTCTTCCTTTTATGTGTGTGTATCAACACAAAGAGAACTGGATTCTAGATCCACACATCTTTTCTATTCTTGTGTTAACCCCTACTGAAATCTTTTATATTTGGCAGCTTTTGGAAGGTGTGTTTGGAAACCCCATAGCCTGTCAGAGTAGATGCCCTATTCTCATAACTGTTAGCTTGGTTTTGAATAACAACAACAAAAATAAAAATTAAAAAAAGCAACCAATCAAACAAACAAAAATGATTAAATTGGGAACCAGTGGAGCAGAAACAGCTCATGAGAAGAGAAAAGGAAAGGAGCCACATGGAAGATGGAGAAGGAAACAACGGGGAGCATTTCTAAATTCTGGCAATGGCTGCGTTTTTCCTGGAATTGCCCTGATGAGAACTGGTCAGTCATTGTCAGGGTGGAAGGACCACTGTTAGCACACAAACCAAACTGTCCTGGTAAAACAAAACAAAAAAAAAACATATATTCTCCACAGTTTATTTTCTTCTTGCCGATCCTGCCAGCATTGGGTGATTTGGCTGAGCTAAATCTGGAAAGCACAGACCTCTTCAGACCAGTTGTGGTGCCTTTGAGTTCAGCATCTGTGTACAGGGTGTCAGAAGGGAGGCTTGGGGCCTGCCTCTCTCTTTCTTCCTCCACTGCCTGGCTGTGACATGGTTCTTTTCAGTGCAGTGCCAAAGGATGTGGAAGTCGACTAGAATTTTGTATCCCTTGTTTTCCTACCACCCTAGAGACCAGAAAAGCCTGGGAGTGGGGTTCTTACTGCTCACTGTGGGATCCCCACAGGGTCATGGGTCATGGGGTGGGGGGAATGCCTGCTAAATGCTTGATGGAGGAATACACCACATCCCGAGTGCCTCTGCCTCCCAAGTGCTGGAATCAAAGGCGTGCACCGCCACCACCCTGGCTTGGTGAAGTACATTCTACGGAGGCATGAGGAGCTCAGTTGAAACCCCCAGAATGAATGTAAAAGAGTTGCATGCAGCCAATGGGCCTGCAACCCCAGGGCTGAGAAGGCCAACACAGTAGGAGCCCTGGGACTTGCTAGGCAGCTCATCTAGGTAAGTCAGCAAGCTTCAGGTTCCATGAGAGACCCTGGCTAAAAAAAAAAAAAAAAAAAAAAAAGTGGGGGAGGGGGGACTGGAAGGAAGGTGATTGTCAAGGAAGTCACTTGACTCCAATTTCTTGTCTCTGCACAAACATGCACAACTACACACGTGCACGTGAACACATTCACGCTAACCAAAACAACAGGAACAAAAACAACAACAAACTTACTACAGGAGTTTAAGCAAAGGAAAGCAAAGCAAAACAAAACAAAAACAAAAACAATCTAAGTAAACACAGCTTTAAAAGGCACAGTTGGCTATCTGACCATTCTTATTTCTGCACGTGTTTTTAAAGAGTTCGTCTTACCACACTGTTTTGCAAACTGCTGTTCTTAACATGCCATTAGTTCTGTGTCATTACATATTTTCCGACAACATTGTCTGTGGCAGCTGCAGAATATTGCATTATTTGATTGTGCCATAATTCATTTAACCACCGCTTTCATGAATTATTTATCGATTGTTTTGGTGGCAGCACTCTGTAAGAAATGAATGAATACAACAAGGCCCTGCCCTTGGAGCAGCAGGCAAAGGGAAAGTGAAGGTACTGAAAATAGGCTGTGATGTCCTGAAGGTTAGCAGAGGTAACTCAATTTACCTGGGGAGAGGAGAGAGAAATAGAGATGTGGAGACAGCTGAAGCCTGTGATTTCAAGCCCTTTGGAAGTTCCAAATTCCTCCCTTTACCCATCATTCCAAGAGACCTTTTTAAAAACACATATTCTGGCCCCAGACTATACTTCCTGGTTTGTCAAGTGTGGATTGGGCTGTGAGATTTTTTTTTTTTTTTTTTTTTTTTTTAGCGTTTTGGGTGCTGCTGCTGTTCTGGGACCACCTTAAATACATTTAAGGTGGTCTCATTTTTTTCACTCTGATAAGCATCTCCTAAGGCATGTCTGTCTGGGTGATGACCATTCCATACTTAAGCATCTCTGGTTATATCAGAGAGGAAGCGAGATGGCTCGGAAGGGACGCTCTGAAACTTTGTACGCTGCTCTGGCTCTCCTGTACACAGAGGCTGGCTCCGAGACAAGTTAACTGCCATTGCTGGGCCGAGAGCAAAAGCGATAGAATGAGCAGTGAGTGAGTCTGTTTGCTACAGTTATTGCAGGTACTGTTTTCTTAATGTACTCTCTCTTGAGTTCTCTCTCTGGTGTTAAAGGCTGGCAGAAAGAGGCGGAGAGGTGACTCAGTGCTTAAGAGTGCTTGCTGCTGGGAGGCAGAGGGAGGCGGATCTCTGAGTTCCAGGCCAGCCTTGTCTATAGAGCAAGTTCCAGGGCAGAAAGGGCTATGCAGAGAACCCTGTCTCAGAACAAACAAACAGTCATGAGGACTAGAGTTCATATCCTAGCACCAGTATTGGGCAGCTCACAAACACCCATGACTCCACCTTTGAGAGGTCCATGCACTCTTCTGGCTCTGTGAGGACCTGAATATGTATGTGCACACACACACACACACACACACACAGACCTCGTGTGTGCACACACATGCAAGGGTGTACACGCACAGAGGAAGGAGACCTTAAACAACATTAGTTTCTAGAAAAAAAAAAAAAAAAGAATAGGCAGAAAAGTTGCCAAAAGGAGGAGCAGAAACAGAATAGACAGAAACGCAGGGTTTTCAAAATATACCACCAAGTTCATTGCCAGAATGAGTTGTGAACTTCAAGGCCTAAAGTTGTAGTTACCAAAACGTGGTCCCCAATACTAGCCGCATTAGCACCGTGTGGAAAATTGCCAGAAATGTAGATTTTCAGGACCTGGGCCAGCCCATGGGGGCAGATGCTGATTCATGGCCAAATCTGAAAGCTGCCATTTTGGACTCTTCTGGGTTTCTGTTCTCAACAGCAGCAGGGCCTGTGTGGCTGTAACTTGTTCTGGCATGATGGCAGAGGAAGCCTGGAGCCGAGGGCACTCTAGGCTAGTCAGTTATTGAAGCAAGAGTGTGAAACCCAGCCAGGGCCTAAACTAGGGCAGCAGAGGGAACTGCAGAGGAAAGGGATTTAGTGCGAGCATGGAAGGAAGTGATGTCTGCCATCCCGATGTTGCCAGCTTGCAGAGCCCGGACCCTGCACCCTTCTTCAGGATAGAGGTGGTGCTTGACAAGACAGGATCTGGATAGCATCTTTGGTCAGTTCACTTATTTTCTAGGTTCATCCCTGTCATCGGCAAAGTTTCTTCTCCCTGCATCCCCTCATCTCTTGGTTCTAGAGGGCAAGTCTAAGATTAAGGCAGCCACAGGATTGGCTTTTGAGGTTCTTTTCTCTTTTCCTTAAAGACCCCACCCAGATTGGGTTTCCCTAACATAAGACCTCGATTTGCCTTCATCATATCTTTAAAGATATTGTTGTCAAAAAAATCAGCATTCTAAGCCACTGGGAGTTAGGAATTCAATATGAATTAGGAAGAAGGGTCGTACACACCAGCCCATAATAATATTCAAGGCAGGGGCTTAACAAGAGTCCAGAAACATGGAGAGGGCTAATGACTCAGCTAATAGCAGAAACGGCAGCACATGACGGGCATAGGCGTTGCCATGACCCCATAGAAGCTGCAGTTAAGGAACTGGAAAGAAGAAGAACGATGCCAAGCACTTAAAATACCCTGCAAGAGGAGTATGAGTGTGCCAAGATCCACAAGCACGTGACTGTGCCAAGACCCACAAGCACGTGTCTGAAGTTTGTCAAGAGCTGGGGCAGGGCCTGATGGAGGCCAGCTCTACCCATTCTCCCCGGCTAGTTCATGTGTGCTCTCCATTCCTGCTGAAGTTTCTCTCTCCCTCCCAGAGTAAGTGCAGACTGGGGCATTTATGGCTGCTGTGAAGACTCAGTTAATAATTCGCAGGAAGAGGTTAGCTTGACAACAGCATGTCATAAACCCTTGATAAAAAGCCATTCTGGGAAACCAAATCCCAAACTGGGCATGGTATGGTACATGCCTTTAATCCAAGCACTCAGGGGCTACAGATAGGCAGATCTCTGAGTTTGAGGCTAGCCTGGACTATAGAAGGGGTTCTGGGACAGCCAGGGATACAGTGAAACCCTGTCTCAAAAACAAACAAACAAACAAACCAAACCACAACAAAAATTAATCTTATTAAGTTTGACCCACTTCTCCATCCAGATTTTTTAAAACATCACCATGAAAGAATACTTGATCATAAAAGCATTACATGTTCAATGTTTTCTAAAAGGAAGCAAACAGACAAAAAACAGTAATGAAGAAATTGGGATAACCTCCCTTTCAACACCTCCCTGGTCTAGGACTACTGATAAGACGAAATCCTTTACTAGATTGTGACGTCACTTATGTCAACTTGCTCCACCTTTAAGGACCTCCATTTCCCCAGTTTCTTTGGGGAGGTCATAAGCCAATGTCATGCACTTGGGTAGACCAAATGAGTAGAATCAATGTCATCAAAGCGGGAGAGAGGTCAGAGGCAGCTCACGGGATGCACATGCTGTAGTTTTCACCACTATCGGCATGTACTTTCCTGCAGGGTGCAAAGGAGAGCCTGGGCTGGATGGCAGGCGGGGTCAGGATGGCATCCCTGGACCTCCTGGTCCTCCAGGACGCAAAGGTGACGCTGGAGAGGCTGGCAGTCCTGGAGCAACAGGTAGAGTTTCCCTCTCTTCCCTTTCCCCTAGCACTGCAGTCTTTGCTCTTCGCAGCTTCTGATGTGGATGAACAAATAGACTTGCCATGGATATCAGCTCTGCAAGTATCAGGGGGGATTTTCATGTTTTCTGTTTTATGCTAACCAATCCCAATCATCCAGGAGGTGTTTTTTTGTTTTGTTTTGTTTTTAGTCTTTAGTAACCGGAGGGGGGCTGCATCACTTTCTAAGACACCCCTCCTGTACCCATAGGTGAAAGCCTTGGGCTTCTTTGAGCCTCTCTGAAGAGCGTATTTGCACATGACCTGCACATTTCCTCCCATGCACTTGGTGTGTGTGCACATGTTCAAGTGTGTGCACATGCATGTTTGTGGCTAGAGTTCTTCCTCAGCTGCTGTCCACCTAGTTTTTGATCCTAGGGTTCTTGCTGACTCAGGAGCTTACCAACTGGCGAGGCGACCCCACCAAGGAGCTCCAAGAATCCTCTTGTCACCATTCCTGTAACACTGGGTTACAGATGTAGCTGTCTTTAATGGCGTTCCTGGGGATCTAGCTCCCTTATGTTACCTAAAGTGACATCAGCACTGTGGGTCATTGCTATGCTGCATCACTTAGGGAAAACTAACAAGGAACAGAGCCTGCATGTTTAATTCAGAAGCAATTAAAAAAATACATTTTCAGTTCTCCATTGAGTGGCCAGCCCTTGCCAGAAGCTCAATGGCTTTGCTGGAGGACTTGTGTTTTTGTGTACTACAGACAGACTGGAGGTAGGGGGGAATTCTCTAAAAGAAGGCTGAGTCCTACTCCCCTCTGTTTCCTGATGCTGAGCATGAAGCTTAAACAGAGATGCTTGAAAATGATTATTAAGTGGATTGCCCTAACTCGTGGGCTTTTGCTCTTGTTTTTCTTTTGTTCTGCAGGCCCTCCTGGTCCACCTGGTGATCCTGGGCCCAAGGGGTTTGGCCTTGGATACCTCAGTGGCTTCCTCCTTGTTCTCCACAGTCAGACAGATAAAGAACCAATCTGCCCTGTGGGCATGCCCCGGCTTTGGACAGGGTACAGCCTGTTATACATGGAAGGACAGGAGAAGGCACACAATCAAGATCTTGGTATGGTGTTGTTATCATGACAGAAAATCCCAATTATTAGATTTTACCAATAAAGACTCAGAAGCCAGATGCTGGGTGAAGACCTGCTAGCTCAGAGAGGCAGAAAGAACAACCAGCTTACCTTCCTACTCAGCTCATTTCCCTGAAGGAAAAAGCCCTTCCTATTCAGCTCACATCCCAGAAGGAAAAAAGATCCTTCTCCACACTGTCTTAAATATCCTTCAGCTCAATGTCCCTCCTTTCTACTTCATGTGCATCTCTCTATCCATCCTCTGGACTTCCTCTCACTCTCTATGTTTTTTTCCCATGTTCACTTCCTGTCAATCTGGTGGCTTGCTCCACCTCTTGACCTAGGGTTAGCTTTGTTTACTCTTTTTTACAGAAAGCTCTTGGATTAAAGGTGTGTGCTAGGGCTTAGCCACACCAGAAGTACTTGTTTACAGTAAACAGAAAGCTCTAGGGTCGAAGACTGAGCCATACCACAATTAGAAACTGGTTTTTACAGTGCATAATGGGATCCAATATCGTGCAACAGTATGGACACACCAAGCATATGCTACCATGTTCTATACAGGGGTCATGCATGTTGTAAAAATCTAAATCTATTACCTTTACAGACTCATCAACTTCTTTGCCACTAATCTTCCCTGGCATGTCTTTATCTCCCTTCCTTCCTTCCTTCCTTCCTCCCTCCCTCCTTCCCTCCCACTTTCCTTCCTTCCTTCCTTTCTTCCTCTCTCTCTCTTCCCCTTTTTGGTTTTTAGAGACTGGGTTTCTCTGTGCAGCCTTGGCTGTCCTGTATTCACTTTGTAGACCAGGCTGGCCTCAAACTCACAGAGATCTGCCTGCCTCTTCCTCCTGGAGTGCTGGCATTACAGGTGTGTGCCACCATGCCCAGCATTACTACTTTTCTTATTAAATTTTTATTTTTTACATTAATTATTATTTACTTTGTATCCCAGCTGTAGCCTCCTCCCTCATTTCCTCCCAATCCCACCCTCCCTCATTACTACTTTTTAAAAAAGCTTTGAATGCAAATTACCATGATCCTGTTAGATGCCACAGAGGCTCATTCTCATGATTGGTTATTGTATGCCTACTTATTACAGTTTTGTTGTTGTTATGTGTGTGTGTGTGTGTGTGTGTGTGTGTGTGCATACCTGCACAAGTGTATTTTGTTTTGTTTTGTGTTTTGAGATGTGGTTATACTATGTACCCCTGGCTGACCTGGAATTGTATAGACCATGCTGGCCTCAAACTCAGAGAATTCTGTCTCTCCTTAAAGAGAGCTGAAACTAAAGGCATGGGCCACCACAGGCATGCACCTTGATTGTCTTGATTGTCATGTTTGTTTGTTTACAGTACCCTTCTGCAATAGGATAAATGTAACTTTGATATAGAATGCAACTTTTTGCTATTAAATATAGATTATTTAATTTGGCATGCTGAGCTTCCATGTTTTATGCATGGATTGCCTGGAGGCAGAACTTATTCGGTATATACTATAGCACTGGCTGGCACTAATTCTCAATTATTTTGTTTTGTTTTATGATCAGAAGACTTTACACATCAGTGCTCTGTGTTCTTTCCCATCTTGCAACAACAGATTTATAAGCTGCAGGACCCAATGTCAAGGCATATGATGACAGTGGCAGGGATGGCAGATGCAGGAAGTGTGTCAATAGGAGTAGTGACAGCTAAGTTAGTCTTACTGCCTTCACCAGGCTGGTGCCTGGCTAGTAAAAGGATTACACAGTGGCAGGCCTACAAGTGGTAGCTGTTCAGGTGCCCACCTTTATTTTCATCTTGGTACTGCCATGTCACTTCCTTCCTCAGATGCCTAGGTTATTTCAAGATAGGGGAAAGAAGAAGGAATGGTTATCTTGAACCTGCTTTTTCTCCTTTCTTTTCTAATATCATGTTTTCTCTTGCCCTGGTCAAGTTGAAGCATCTAACTAAAGTTCTGTAGATCCCCCTATGCAAATTCCAAGCCACTTATTAAGATCACCAAAGCCCACATCCTGTGGTCTGAGTTATCTCCAGTTACCCAGAGATGACGTCACGCAGGTGCATTTTTCCTGGCTCCACTGAGCTCTGAGGTGACATTCTGTGCCTCTGGTTCTCCCCATCTCAGCGTCTTCATCTCCTTTGAATGGTTACCACTATCTCCAAGCCTGGTTAAATCATTTCGTGTTAGGTATCACAGCTTAAAATAAAGTTGTTCTGGGCAACCCTCACCTCTCATCCACAGAGCTTCTCCATCTCATCTGTTACCACCTTGCTCACATGTATTGAAAAGTCAGATGTTTCTGTGCTCAGCTCTAGCCCATGGTGGGTTGTTGGGCTCCAGAGAGAGGGATGAATGGATTGAAGCTCGTCCACAGATCAGGGAGGTGGCCAAAGTGGCAGTGGTCTCTGGCATGGCTCTCCATAGGTCATAGTAGGTGTCTGTTAACTGCCACATGCAGAAGTCACTGGCTGCTTGTTCACAACTGGATGCTCATACACTGTGTCTTCTTCCCACCCAGGATTGCCAGGGTCTTGTCTTCCTATGTTTAGTACTCTGCCCTTTGCCTACTGCAACATCCACCAAGTGTGCCACTATGCCCAGAGAAATGACAGGTCATACTGGCTGTCTAGTGCAGCGCCTCTTCCCATGATGCCACTCTCAGAGGAAGAGATCCGTCCTTACATCAGCCGCTGTGCTGTGTGTGAGGCCCCGGCACAGGTGGTGGCTGTCCACAGTCAGGACCAATCCATCCCACCATGCCCACCGATGTGGAGGAGCCTCTGGATTGGGTACTCATTTCTGATGGTGAGTCTCCTGCCCTTGAACCTTATTCCTGGCTAGATCAGAGTTCTGTGTACTGTGTAGAAACCAGTGGACACGGGGGTCAACCAAGCCACTGCAGACTGTAGACTGCTGAGATAGAGTGCCATCATCAATTATTCTTTCGGTAAGTCTGGAAGATGGATTTATTTCAGCTATCAGTGAAACTGGCCCCATTTTGCATGCACATCCAACACACCTCCTACTGTTTTTTATGGAATGACTTAAGGAGGAATTTTAAATAGACCTAGACGAGGGCATGTCACTGATTCTGTCCGGGTGGTCTGGAGTGGCTGAGCCCTAATGTTTCTTTTTCCTTTTTCCTCTGGGTAGCACACTGGAGCTGGGGACCAAGGAGGAGGACAGGCACTCATGTCACCTGGCAGCTGCCTGGAGGACTTTAGAGCTGCGCCATTCCTCGAATGCCAGGGCCGGCAGGGAACCTGTCACTTTTTTGCAAACAAGTACAGCTTCTGGCTGACCACGGTGAACCCAGACCTGCAGTTTTCCTCTGGCCCATCACCGGACACCTTAAAAGAAGTTGAGGCCCAGCGCCAGAGAATCAGCAGGTGCCAGGTCTGTGTGAAGTACAGCTAGAGAATTCACAACATGCCAGTCGGAATCAAGAGAGACATCTCATGGAGAAAAAGCTGCCCTGGCTACTCCAGCAAATTCAGTGGTGCTCTCTCCAGACTCCTTCAGCCATGTCTTCTGTCTTATTCCCGGCATCCTCCTTTTGCTCTCCACAGATGAAGCAAAAGCAGCACACCTGGATTTGTTTGGTTCCCACCAATCTAGATGAAAACCACACATTCTCCTTTTATTGAAATGATGGAGGAACAGGCTTTATTTGAACACGTGTTAATTCCCAGAAAAGCAAGTGAATGAATGACAAAGACAAGATTATAAACGACTGAAAACTTCATTCATTTGTTGATAGCATCTCAAACAACTGAAGTCAATTATTCTGTAATCCATTGGGCTCCCGGCTAGATTTTACAGGACAAAAATATAAATAGGCCAACAAATGAAACTACAAAGTAGAGATTGTCAATGTTTCAAAATGATTTTCTCTATAATCTATTTTTTAAACCATACACTTTAAATAATTGTGAGATCATGGCCCAAAGAGGTTTTTAAGAAGGAGGAAGAAAAGAAAAACAACCTCTCTACACTGCCAGCATTAGCAGTTCATTTCAAAGCAGAATGAGTCATTATGCCAGGAAGGCCTGCAGTCCCTGTATTCCAGAGCCCCGACATTAGCATAAACACTTCACAGATGAATATAAAACATTATGTTCTCTCCTGCATTTTACAAAGAATGGAAATGCCTACTTTGGCAACCCTTTTGAAAAGTAGCAATTATAGAAAAAATATATTCAATAAGGGATTAGGAGCCTAAAAGCTATTAATGAATATTAAGGTAGTGATTCACAAAAATTGACTCCCCATCCCAGGGAACTTGCAAACAGACCACTTTTCCCCAGTCGGGGGGCCAGCGTGTCCTCCTGCTAATGGGACTGAAGCGACATGGGGCTTACAAAGCCACTTGCTCTCCTCCCCAGGAGAACCTGCGAGGCTCCTCCTCCACATGGATAATGGCAACTCACTCCGGAAGTGACAGGGCTATCATTATGCACTTGGGAGAAAAATGAAGGGCTGACTTAATTAAAGTTAGGTAAGAAGATTCATTTATGTCACAGTCACCCCGCCAAGAAGGCATGGGGCTTTCTTGAGCAGAAACAAAGACGCTCTCCAATCTGAATTTTGTGTTCCAATGATTTTTTTTTTAAACGGGAACATCTGTCTCACCAATTTTCAAACATTCTTTACATTGTATTAGCATCATGGCAAGACAGCTGTTTGACGCTGGTACTTAACAGATCCTGTACATGGATAGGATCCATGTCAATTGGCAGTGACGTTTCTGCATATCAAAAGGTCTGCTGGTCACCAAGGCAGGGATCCCTACAAATCACAAATGGAAAGGTTTGATAGAAAAGATTTCTTTCTTTTGAAACTCACCTTCCTCAGCTAAAGCAAGAAAAGCTCCCCCCTCCCTCCCAAGAGAGACACACATGCCAGAGCTCACTTTTCAGGGCACTTGCGAATAATTGAAAGAAAAACTCAATTAGAATTTTATTTCTGGACTAGAGAGGAGGCTCAGTGGTTAAGAGCACTTACTGAGAATCTGAATTCAGTTCCTGGGACCCAGGACAGGTGGCTCAGTCACCAGTTACTCCAGTTCCTTTTTCTGGCTCCCACAGTCTGTCTTGTACACATGCAAATACCCATACACAAACACATACTGATATACATAATTAAAAACAAAAGCAAATAAAAATATTTCTAAGGTGTGCTTTCCTTGCTATCCTTTGGTCAGTGATGAACTCCTTTATGGAGAATGCGTTTAGCTTCTTAGTTCATTCCTCTTTCTTTCTCTCTCTCTTTCTTTCTTTCTTCCCTTCCTTCCTTCTTTTTTCTTTCTTCTTTCCTTCTTTCCTTCTTTCCTTCCTTCCTTCCTTCCTTCCTTCCTTCCTTCCTTCCTTCCTTCCTTCCTTCCTTTCTTCCTTCCTTCCTTCCTTCTTTCTTTCTTTCTTTCTTTTTCTTTTAATGTCCATTTTATTTTATCATGTTTTTAGACAGCCACCCAGTCTGTAGCTTAACTTGGCCTGGAACCCACTACATAACTAGGCTGAACATCTCTACTTTAACATGAAATATTTTCTTGATGTAGCAGCAGAATATTTTCCAATATTGACCTATTTAAGTTCATGTTATGCATGTTAAATATTTCTGAGTGTATGCAATTGGAGCCCATTTCTCCTTTATTTGCATTACCCTTATGTTTCCAGAATCTTTATCTATCACCCCAAACCAGACCTCCTGAAAGCTCATTATGATCTAGGCCTGAGAACGTGTCCCAGGAAGAGGTGGGGGCATAGGTGAACTGTTAGAGAGCACACGTGGCTTGTTGCTTAACAACCTTAAACCCTTCAACTTTGCTGTTAGACTAGTAGCATGCTTCATAAGTCAGTTATGACTGGCTGAATTAGAAGGGCAATTTAGCTACCTGAGATAGTAGGCATGAAGCAGTTCAAACTATAGATTCTGTGGTCTTCCTTTGAGTTGGTAATATATTCTGAAATGGTCCAGAAGGGCAAAGCAATAGGAAAAAGCATTCTTGGGACAGAAGAGCACGTTATTTTAGAGTTGTTATATCTCTTTCCACCTGGCTATATATCATATTTTTGGAACAGCCTTGCTCAGTGGGGACCATGAACAAAGCTTTGCAGTTATCCTAGCCCATTACTGTGATGGTCTTATCTAAGCCTCATTTTCAAGGTCTCCACCCTTGACCGACTAGAATGTGCCAAGTTCTCTAATGGGAACGTTTCCTTCTGGGTTCTCATTCTTGGTAAGTGGGACCCACCAGTCCAGCAGGTGATCTGTTCCCCAGACTGAACCTGGTTTCACTTTTTGTGTGTGTTTGGGTTGCCACCTCCTCTCCATGCTTCTTCCTCTCACACAGGGATGTCTCCAGTTTGGAATCCCAGCCATCCTCTAAATTCTATCCAAATTAGATTAGTTATCTTTTGGCTTAAAATCCTCAATGACCACACTGCCTGTGAAATCCAAATGACCTCACATGGGGTAAAAGGTCCATTGTGAATGATGAGGCTTACTGTCTGAGAATGCCTCTTGTCAGCTTGGGCTGCACACAGCTCTGCGAACACTCACATAGCTCTATGGCTTTGGCTCATCTTTCTACTATTGATGTCCTCTCTTGGGTCCAGTGGTTTGGTAGACACATGTTTCTCCTAGAACAATGGGTTAGTGGTAGGTACATGAGCTTCCCAAAGAGACTTGGGGAGCTATCTGTTCTCTGTTCTCTAATGTCTCAGGATACTTCTCTCATTCCCTGGCTAAAAATCGAAGCTCTTGTGGGGCAGGGTCCATGCTTTGCTAGTCTTTGGGTGTGCAGTGTTAGCACATGAACGAGCCTATCTGTTATCGACTCAATTCTTTATCAATTCAGTGATAATTTCCTATGCCTTGGTAAGTCTTTAATGTGCAGCTCTGCATGTAAGAGCTCCTTGGTAAAAGGATGACCAGTATAAGCCTGTCTTGCCACAGAATATCAGAAAGTTAAATACATCCACACATCCACAATCTAATACAATTAGCACCATAATGCCAATAGGCAAGTGTTGACCCTTTCTTACTCCACAGTTAGTTACTTCTCTATGAACTGAAATTTTAGAAATGACTTGGCAGAAAGAAGAGCCTTCATTGAAAGGACATGATGACTCATGCTACAGTCTGCATTCCCTCAAGACTGAAGGGCTTTTTGGCACCAAGTTGCCTCTACATAGTCCTTGTACATTTTGAGCCCTTAGAAAAAGTCAGCAGAATGGCTTATGAGCACTGAACTTCATCAAGACTTTCTTTCACAAGTCCCGCAGTTTACCACCTAACAGTGGGAAAATGAGGACTTCTGAATTGGTTGAATGCAGATTTCAATCCATTTTCAGCTCTGTTGCCAAGGGTGAGTTCTGCTAAATTTCCCTTGTTTATATGGTAGGACAATGCACTCATGTTGAAACTTAAAAGTTGGATTATCACCTGTCTAGTTCACAGCAGTAACCATACACCAATTATGGACACATCTATTTAAAATAAGATATTGTAATATGAAAATTATTCCTTGTTTTTTTTTTCCCACACAACAAAATTACATGTTGATTCTCATAGGGCATATAAATTACTGATTAGAATTATTTATAACTAGTCAGTTCTTAACATCTTCTTTATCTCAAGTCACAAAGTTATTGTACCACAAAAAGTACCCCAATTGCCTGCAGGGACATTATGAGTAAGGTCTACAGGGAACAAACAGTCGACATTAAAAAAAAATAAAATCAGCCTTCTGCAATTGTCTCTGTTATTATCTGCAAGGAACTCTGCATAATGCATTTTAAACCAGGATGTCTGGCTGCCACATCCACATGAAATGCTTGAATTTTATGGTCCTTAAATATTTAATGATTCATTGGAAAAAATGTGAAATATGTCCATTAAATTGCATCCCTTTCTCTAACCCATGGTTTTAAACGATTTTGGTCACGCACCTTTCGCAAGATGCCTGATCTACTATTGACACATAAATATTTCTTTGTTGTCACAGTGTGGTTTATTACAAATAAAATTCTGTGATGACTTCCAAAAGCACTGTTGTTGATGAAATTATTTTCTTTTAAGCCAAAGTTGGTTTCCTCTTAAGTGTATATGTGTCCTTGTACACAGAGGCATGTATGAAGTCTGTTTATGTATGTATGTTACGTGTTAGATGTAAGTAGGAAAAACCCTAAATTGTTGTTCCTCAGGTGGCATCTGGCTGGCCCGGGTCTGCTTCTTCCCTCAGGGCGTCCAGGTACTAGTGTGCATAGATGCTGGACTTGAAGGAAGCTTAGCCTGGTGAGTGGGTTAGCAGGATCTCAGTCTGGTGATGAATTGGAAGAGGGGGCTTTTCTGAGATAGTTGTCAGTGAAACAGCTCTTCTTAAGGGCATAAGGGTTCTATAAACCTTGGGATCAAGAGACTGCCTACTTCCAGGGTGACTTGAAGGGCTGAAAGTGTGAAAGCCAGCCTCCTTATGCTAGTGAGCATTTATATGGCTGTGGGGAATGCCCAAGAGAAACAACTTAAAACTAGGATTTATTTGGACTCAGTTTCAGTCCAATCTTGTCTGGATGAACTGAGGTATGAAGAGGAGCCTTATATAGTGGGAGAATGCAGCAGAGACTGCTTACCTGACGGTGGTCAGAAAACAGACTGAGAGAGACCAAGACTGGCCCAGGTCATCATATAGCCTCCGAGCACTGGCCAATACCAACTAGTTTCTACCTCTGAAAATTTCTATCACTTCTCAGCAGCAACACAAGCCTTCAACACACCAGCCTGAAATGGGGCAGGGTGAGCACCAGGGACAGGTCACATCCAAACTGGCAACAG